AGCATTGATCGTGGAAGCTTGCGCTTTGCCGCCCACACCTAGTCCAATCACCAAACACAAGCTATCCACTTGTTTCAGCTCATCAGATTTTGTGATCGTATTCACCCACTTGTCATCATAGTACCACGTGATCTGATCATATCCCCAGTCCAGTCCGTATCGATGTAGATTGTCACTTGTTTGTTTGTTGTCTGCAATAAAGTTCTGTTCTTCGACTTCACCTTTGCTGTTTGTGTACTTGAATCCATAGGCATAGCGAGACCGTGAGTCGAATGCTTCCATGATAGTGAGCATAGGCACGCGTCCTGAATCTTCTGGCACGAGAAACACGGCAGGCCACGTACTTTCCGTGGGTGGTACACGGAGAGTAATGTCGATGAAGCCGTTTTTCATGCAGAACTTTCCATTAGTGTTGACAGCACCCGAAGAGAAGTCAATGTCGAGTGGACCGAATTCTGTCATGACACCGAGCGTGATAGATCGTTCTTTGATAGCAGTTAGATTCAAGTAGCCATCTTGAGTGACTCGAACGAGACGCTGGTTTGTGTTCGCTCGATGAGTATAATAAGTGCCCCATGGGTACCCATAGTTCCAGAGGGAAGTGTTGAGTGTCGGAGGGTCGAAAGACTCATAGAGTACTCGAGTTTGTCCGTGAGTAAGTTGAGATGTGACTGACGAAGCAAGCAGAGAAATTATACAAAGGGCGATCATCACTCTACGCAAACGACTTATAACTGGCGGGTATGGAAGGGGATTTGTGTTTATATACGTGCAGAAGTAGATGGCTATCTTGGAAGATAGTCGATGAGAAAAAGCCATCTGTGATATACTCAATTGTTTTAAATAATACGGATAGGTGCGTTATTTATAGAATATGAAGTTCGGAGTCGGTATTATTACTAGGGAAAATGTGTAATTGCAGCTTGATTTTTGAGCCATTACAAGGAGTACACATTGAATTCGTCCATATCGCTGTTCGTGTGACTGAACTGCGTCTATGCGGACTTTCAATTCTGTGACTAAGAGAAACGATACCAGTGGAAAAACTTCTCATCAGAAAACGGCCAACCTTGATGATAACGCGCGTACTTTTTATCTGACGATGTCACGGAGTCATTTGAATCAAAATGGAACTACTGAAGAAAGCTAGTAGCTGTATATTCTACGATTAACAAAGTTCTCTTCTATAGCGTCATTCTTCAGTGACAGCCATGGGTATGTATTGTTAGGCGAGAGTAAAATACAAGTTTTGATGTTTGATTCCATATGACACCGTGTGCATATCATTAATTTAATCAATTCCAGAATAATATTCCGTCTAATTTTGAGAGGCAAATCTCCATAATGTTTTGGATAAAGACAAGAGAACAAAAATTGCGTCTATCATGTTGGTTTCGTCGTATTCACTGACATTTAAATATGTATAGATCGAAGTGTGAATATGGATGACATATTGTGAAGGGATAAAATGTGGAAAACAAAATGAGCGTTTCTTCTGTTTTCTGATCGTACAAGTTCGTGTTATATTATCAGCTGGAAAATTTCACAATGCAATCGAGTTCATGGCGAACAAAGGTGTGGCCTAATCGCCGATTAATGCTCAATAATTGTTTGCTTTTTCTCGGATTTTTTTTCACGATCACATTTGTTCGCACGACCTATTTTCAACCTGGTGACTCCTACTCATATGATCTTCAATCGTCTATCTCGTATAAAACCTTCTTTCAACATTTACAATCATATTCGTATCCTGTATCATGTCAAAAACTTTTCGAAGGTGATCCAAACGAAATTCAGCATGCAAACAATCTCTTACGCAACAAAACGAACTCATATTCTGCAATTTCGAACGAAAAATATCATGTACCGAAAAGCCTATGCATTAATTATCGCTCCGAACGTTTCAATCAACCCTTCCATTACCGAGATTCATCAGTCAATCGACAATTTCCGATAGCATTTACTATTTTACTACATGATAACGTCGAACAATTCGAACGTCTCTTACGTCTGATCTATCGTCCACAAAATATCTATTGTATTCATGTTGATAGTGGCGCAGAAAGAGCGGTTTTCGAATCTGTGCGATCTATTGCTGGTTGTTTCGATAATATTTTCCTAACAAACAAACGTGAACGAGTCCTTTATGCAACTTTCCGGCGATTACAGGCGGACTTGAATTGCATGGAAGATCTATTGAAATACCCATCATGGAAATATTTGTTAAATATCGCCGGTTCAGAATTACCATTGAGAACCAACAGTGAATTGGTGAAAATTCTGTCGATTTACCGAGGATTCAATGATATTGAAGGCATATGGAGAAATAGAAACGTGCATCGATTTGAATATGTGTTTAAGTACAATAATAATACACGTGGAACACATGAATCTTATATCAGCAGAACCGATGAAAGAAAGAAACCACCTCCGCACAATATTTCAATTTTCAAAGGATCTGCTTATGGTATGGTGCCGTTTTCCTTTCTACTAACGCAGATAAATACCTTTAGTAATTCTAGGTGTATTTTCTCGTGGATTTGTCAATTACATACAAACAAATCCAATTGCTAAAGATCTGTTGAATTGGTCACAGGATACTTACAGTCCTGACGAACATGTCTGGGCAACATTAAACTATAATACACATTTAAAAGTTCCCGGTGGATCTAAAGGTAATTAATGCACCTACGATGAATGTTCGATTCAAATACAGTAGTATTTTGTTTTCATAGCACAAACTGATCCTGCCAAATGGACAGGTCGGTTCTGTAACTGGGGTGAATACCGATGTCATGGTGCTATTATACGTGGTATCTGTGTATTTGGTACCGCTGATTTACCATTATTAGCGGGTCGTCATGAGTTGATTGCCAATAAATTCTATCTCAAAGTCGATCCCATTGCTTACCAATGTTCCGAAGAGCTTCTTGTTAATCGCTCGAAATTTGAATTGCCATTAGCTAATGCACAAATATATCGTCAAATGTCTTTTTTATCATCTCCGTAATTGTTTTTTTCCTCGCAAGAAATATATTCTCGTCACCGAGCAAAATTTTATTCGATTTTCATAACAAAACATTATGATAACAGTCACTCGGAAGAATCGTTTTTAAACCGCTTCGATGGATGATCTTCATCATTGTGCTTTTTGTCGAAAAGAACAATCTTCGCACACATCATATCCTTCTTCGGTGCGACTTGCCGAACGAATCGACATGATATTTGTTGATCACTGATGTTCGGCATGAAAGTCTTCAATCGTGAACGAATGTCTTCATCGGTATTTTCAGCTTTTGAAAATGTATAACAATGGATATGAATCGGTAAGATCCATTGTTGTCTATCTTCACAATCCTTCTCTAACCATTCGGGGAAAACATCCAAGAATGTCAAAGCGATATCAGGTAGATTCATGAGAATCACGATTTTATTGTCCGATAGGCACCAACGTTTTTCTTTGTCGTCGAGAATCTCTTTCTGATAAGATTCAATGCGAGGAAAGACAATCGTGCGAAGAAATTCTCGCCCATCTAAATTGAATACATGATATTGATTGGAAAATTTCTTTGATTGATTTGTTTTTAAGTTAATTGTCATCCATTTGACAGATTCCGGATTGAGATCATTAGCATAAACATTACAACCAAGCATTAGAGCAGGAACAACGAATGGCCCAACACCAGCAAAAACATCGAAAACCAGATCATTATGATGAAGAATTTTAACAATACGCTCGCGTTCGGTACCTGAACGAATCACTCAATAGGAATTTGAATACATTAGTATTGTGGTTACGTACTTAATCGAGGATTCCAATAAACTTTGGAAAAATCGAATTGGAACGTTGCTTTACTTTCGCGACACTTGACAATCGTGTTTTGTTCGCCGGCGAGAATCTCCAAATCAAAATTTCGATGAACAGAATCGATTTCGTGCAGTTTATTCACGACGGTTTTAACATTAACAAGTTTATCGAGAACTACTTGCGCTACAATTCTTAGAAGAGAATGTATTTAATCGAAAAAGAAAATATCGTCAATCATAGTGCTTATCGTACTTCTTTCGAACGTACTTTAGCCTATGAATGTTTACTTACCGATAACATGCTTGTATGGTAGAACAGCATCTTTCAAATTGAAATGAGCTATATGTCCGATGAGACTATATCCAGAGCCGGTATTAATCGGTCCATCTTTGCCTAAATCATCCGGTAGGATTGCTTTGATCACTTGTTCAATAGAATAATTCTCATATTTGACTCCTAAGTCCATGAAATCGAATGATTCTTCGATGTATTTCGCAATCGATGGCATCATCTTAATCGCATCCTCTTTCGTCACAATAACATCCGGATCTAACAGGACTTGTTTATGGGTTTTCGATACTGGCTGCAGATCTCGAACATTCTTCATTGATGGTAATGTCAACAGAGCATTTTTCCATTTTGACGTTTGAATACATTCCACAGGAACGTTAACGTAGGGTACATTGATCGTTTGTTGGAACTGCTCACGATCTAACGTTGTCTTACCCTTAACTGCTACGGGTAATTTCAAATGCATTTGCCGTGTTAGTGATCGAATGAATCTATGCGAATAAACAGACATTCATCTGTAATATTTTTGAAACGACCAGTTCTAGAATGATTCGTGAAGTGATCTTTTCGGCTAAAACGGCGGCTTTTTTTATCAATCGAAAGAAATGAAATAAATAGATGATGAACTGATAAAAAAATAGCAGATGCACGTGTTTACACAGAAACAAACAGTGAAGAAAGAGAGAAAGAGAAAACGGAAAACGAAACGAGTTTATTTCAGAATCACTGGATGGTGAAAGTATAGGTTAGGAATACCAGCGTCGAACGAAAAATGATCATTCTCTATGATTGAGATCGTTTTTTTAATGATGTTCCTGTCGGGGTTAAGCCACGATTGGTTTTGCGTTTATCAATCAAAGCTTCAATACGTGATAACGGACGGCGAGTTGTTCCTATTGTATCATCGGGAATATCGCGAGTCTTTCTCTCGACATATGATTGAGTATTTCTAAAACAAAGAAATCAACTTCAAATATCATATTCAGTGAATGTTATCGATTAGTAGCTGAGAAAAAAAAACGAAAACATGCACTACGTATTGGTTTAGTCTAGTTTCGTCATGCAATGCTCGATCTGTGCAAGCTACCTGTCGACGATATGTCTGAGATGGAGATGTACCACGTGATGGCGATAGGCCACTTTCGGCAACTGCCAAAAGAAAATCATCGGTCGAATCCGACCGTGTGGGAAAACGACGGGACGACGATGTACGAACGAAATATTGTGAAGTAGACATCAGGTTTTGACTAAAGGGCGAAGGTAATTTTTCTTGTTTGATGATCAATTCTCTAACGTGAGATTGAGCCTTATTCTCGGAGTATGGACTACTTACGTTGTTTTCGCCGCACGAACAGCTTGTTCACGCCAAGCTCGGATCTCTTGCAAACAAGTCTAAATAGAAATCAAAGACGCAACTGAACTTTTTATGTATGAAGAAGAAAAGACTTACGGAAAAGAAAGTACAGAATAGTTTCAGATCAGTAAAGAATTCAGTCAGAGAATAATTTTTCAAATCGATCGCTAAGAAATCACATAAATTTTGGTAAGCATTTGTCATTTCCTCATCGAGTTGCTCCAGTCGAGCAACGTCATCATCAGCAACGCTTAGGAAATCCTTAGAAGACGAAAAGTAACATTTTCATCTGAATTTCGATTAAATTCACTTCTATAGCTTCAGCAAATTGATCGCCTTCAATTTGATCTTCTGCATTTTTGGCAATCGCTAGTTCTTCGCGAGCATTTTTCAATTCACGCTTGATTTCCTGCGGTTGCTTTTGCAGTTCCAATATGTTAACTAAAAGCGGAAAAAAGAAAATGTTTTCACTTCAATAAAACTCATCTTGACCTACTTTTCGATACTCCATCAGCAAGCAGATAAAACTCATCGGAAAACGAAAGTAGATCACGATGTTTATCCTGAATGGCTTGAACAATGAAATGCAATAGTGAACGACGACCATCATTTGCTTTAGTGGAATGTAACTAGAACAAACCAGTCGACTTCTTTTCTTTGTTCTCTTCGAAATCAGTCGATAGAATTACTTTGGGCAGAAAACTGATATCAAAACCATGGATGGGTTCGTATGATTTCGCACTTGAATTCATATAGTTACCAACAGTTAAGATTAATTCGAGCATTTTCTTAAATCGAACGGAATGTCGAACATGATCACATGCAGAACGGACTTCAACAAATGCCTGAAGATGCAACACAACTTGGAATGTTTTGTTTCCAATGTCGAATTCAACAAACTTTGTCTGTTTCTTCAACTGTTTCTTTGTAATTTGCTTTGAAAAGAAGTGTTTTTAAACGTTGCTTCAATCGTTTGATATCACCGATCTGAACACAAATCAAAATGCAATTACTACTTCGATAGATTGTTCGATCGTTTTCAAAAGATAATTTACTGCACAAAAATACTGTTCGGAGTATTGTAAATCATTGATTTCATGTTGATAATCCGCTAAAATTTTCAACTCTTCACTTGATGGTAAGTACTTTTCTAATTGTTTCAAAAAATCATATTTCAAATTTTCATTATCACACGTCAACATCCATTCCCGAAATACCGATGGCGTTACTTTCAATTGACTAAACATGATCGCTAGAAGAAGAAAAAAAACACGAGAGAAAGAATTTCGATAAGAAGATTCGTTCTGATCGGGGAAAAGAAGTCTTTTACCAAAATTTTGAGCAGCTTTTGCATCGAGTACACGCAGTTCTTTCGATTTATCAACAAGTTCATGAATGGGCTGTCGATCTAGAAGAATTCGTTTTGGTTTTTCGTGTTGATTTTCGTTGAAAAATAAAAATGATATACTCGGAGTGATTTTACTGGCGAAATTCTTCCGTATGTCGGAGAAGAGTACATCATTGACGTATTTTTCTTCGTCGACATTGACCCACATTGATTCTTTTTTGATTGTATATGGATTGATCTGATAACGAGAATGCAATTATATTGAGAATGAATTGACCAAATACTAACTTTACTCCATTGAACTTTTTTGACAGGTTCGATAACGGAATATTTCCGCTTTTTACGCAAATACTGTGGCAGTTGAAGTGGAGCTGAAGTTTGGTATCTTAGATGATGCATATTCGAATGACAATCTCAACCTACCACTAAATTCTGGCATCATCGGCGGTGGAGGTGGAGGACTACTAAAGCCCAGTACTGGTGCTACAGGTGCAGATGCTGTTATTATCTGTTTTGTCGGTTGACAAAATGGTGGCAAAGGAGGCGGAAGAGGTGGTGCCGGTGGTGTTGATACTATTTCATTTGATTTCTTATCTACTTGCATAACCAGATCCGAGAGTAGTGACCGTACGTCATCGTCGATATTATATTTTGATATGAGTGAAGAAGAAGGTCCATATTGCCCGTTAGCACAGGAAACGAACGATCCTCTAGCAGACATGTTGAATGGCTAAAAAGAGAATAACTCAGTTGTGTGTTGTTATCAACTACAATGAACTCTTTTCTTACTTTGTAAAAGTCGTTGTCGTTGGAATTGATATTAATACTTGAGCGCACAGTGGCTGGTTGTGAATTCGAGTTTCTTGAATCAGAATTCAACGTGATCCATTCCAAAAGTAATTCACCTAGACAAACACTCGAACTGTGTAGGAGTGAAGAACAGAATAATGAACGAAGAAATACTTGTAAACTTGGCATGATCGTTTTTGAATGATTGCGAAGATGTTAAAGGTGAACGAACATCATCATCATCACCGGGCGACGATGAATCGTTAATATTATCATGTAGAAAGAGTTTTTGCATAGTCTGCCGAACAGTATTCTCATCGACACGATGTGGCGATATCGGTGACGATGGATTACTATTCGAATCGGTTTTTGATACAATAAATGACGACATGGAATCAGTATCAAGTGTTGAACATTTCTAATATACTACTTTGTACAAGAAGGATTGCCGTCTAGAAGGTTTGATAATTACCTCAGTGGAAGATATGACGATTGGACCTGTTTGGATTGCTATATGTTTTTTCTCAATCTTGTTCTCAAGATTGACTTGGGTAGATATCGAGTTGCTTTCTATTTGTTGAACATCGGAATGAAAACTGTATTCACTCTAAAGATAAAATTAGAGATAAATATCTTTTTTTCTTCTGTGTCAATTCAATATACACGTACCGCAAGAATATCCAAAATGGTTGTCGCTGTCGATGATTTATATTTATATTCTTTGCTTTCGATCAGATGGTGATTAACTATTAGAAAAAAAGAATATATACGTTTAGATGAAGGTCGCCATTTTTTGTTCATATTTGTGAGTATATTGAGAGGAAAAACGAATGAGATTGATATTCTCTATTGATTAATATGAAAGTGAAGGCAGAAAGAGAAATGAGCAGATCAATAAGAGATATAAATGATAGAATAGTGTGTTATAAACGTACCAAAAGAGCAATCGACAATGATACCTGTTTGGCCTGCCTCTTTCGCTTCTTCAGTCACACATTACTGACTAGAACACAGAACGATATCGATATAACATCCTTCACACTTGACACGAACACAGAAAGCTTCACACCTTACACTATCATCAATAAAAGACAATATACACACACATATACGTTCACAACACGTATACCAAACTCACTATCATTAATAACGGATGGCGATGAGGAAGAGTATTCCATATCTGTATTATGGTTAGTTGTCCATGAGTAGATGCTTTGTGTCTAAGTAATATTGAGAGAGAAAGAGAAAGATAGAATTGATCATCATTATCAATCATGACATTTAACAGCGAGAAAAAAATCAAACGACAACAGATACAAATGAAGCTTGACTTCGAGATTCCGTTTCGTCATTTTCTTGCGAATGAAATGATTAGATTTGTCATCATTATCTGTTTCGCAAACTTGCCTGCAGAATCGAATAAAAGCAAATGAATGCGACAATGGAGGAATACAAATCGTACATATCAACTCATCGTTTAATTGTCGCGAAACTTATACTTCTGTTCGTTCTCGGCTGTTTCTTTTCGATCTGTTCATGTCAACTGATCATTCGACAAATTCATGCCGATAAAAAACGATTGAATGCATCGAAAAACATGCAACAAATGATCAATATTATTCCTGTTCAACAGACATGATCAACAAATTCTTCCCCAGGTCATGACGTTTTTCTCTTTTTATGAACAAAAACCCTGATGACTAGTGTTCTTTTTCCTCTTTGTTTTACTGTTCAGCGTGTTAGTTGAACTAAAGAACGCACAAACAAACTTTGTGCACATTCATCAATGTAGAACATTAACATCGATTCGATATCATCGATATCGAAGGTTTTGACAGACTTGAATGGATATGTTGAACATCAAGGCCATTTTACATTCCGATCAAGGTAAAAATAATCAGAACAACAACTATGAATGCAAGCAATCGAGATAAAAAAAAATCACTTGAATTAATATGGCTTTTTCCGGAACAAAAAAAAAGAAATTGATGTTTATAATTATTGAGTATACATCGAAAAAAGAAAAATGAATGTGCAAGAAAAAGAAAAAGATGATATCAACTATTATACAAACAGTGCGAGAGCGTTTTTCTATAGAACGAGGTGAGATGATAAATAATGATATCTAATGCAATTCGAACAGGTAATTTGAAAGCGCGCGCGCACCCGTCTATCCACACGATTGCTTCAAGAATGACATTATAGGAAAAGAAAAATGTGTTTGTCAAACAATCTATGTCATTCGAAACATCAAATACGTATTGCATCGTGTTCAATTATGTCGATATCATTGATCGCTTTTGACATATGTATGTGTAGGAAGACCCATGATGGTTTCTGACACCTTTTTTTTTCTTTACCTCTACCCTCCTTTATTCACATACATCGAGTGAATACAATTGATTACCTTCGTCAGATGACAAGGTTTTTTACACCTTTTTCATCATACATGGTCGTCCGACAGTATAAATAACGAATAAAACTTTGATTATCTTCGACTTTGGTTAAAGAAAAACATATGCGAATAGAGCATTTTCCTAATAGAACGCTATGGATATTAGAGAATATGATTTCTCATGAGTATAACGAATGTAAAATCTGTCCTGATTCATGTTAATATTGAATAGAAAGATAGATTTTGCGGAATCGGTGCAAATTTGTTTGGAACTTACCTGAAACAAGTCTGTCTCTTGTTGATCTTCTCGTCGTAGAACATCAAGTCCAATTAGACATGTACAACATTGTAAAATGATTTGTTTAATCAGTGGAAGATTGTCATGACGATCTTCGAAATGCACTAAAAACCAGTCGACTAATAAGTCACCTAAAAACAAAGTCAAATCTCGTGAACCTTCGTGGTTTTTTGGACGTGAATTTTCTCTACCGGAAAATTTTGCGTGTTTACTCGATTGTAAACATGGATGAATTAATATCGGCGACATTAAATTGTTCGAATAATTATCATCTGTAGAATTGCTCGATGTTGATTTTTTATTGTACACACCAAAAAATCGCCGCAAAACTTGTCGAACATAGTTGACATTATTCAAACGTTTATCATTGGAGTTTGTTTGATTACGAAAGTCCATGAGAGTTTGAATTTGAATGTTATTCAAATCTAAATCTGGTGTTGTTGCCGTGGAAGATAAATGAGATGGACAATTCGACTTCGACATGACTACGGAATACTATATGGTTTAAATACAACCGAATGAGGTTTTGTTTTAGTTAAATATCGAGTTATTTATCATCTAACTGAATAATATTTCGTATGAAAATATGTGAACGAATAGAAATACAACGTTGATAGTCGCGACGCGGGCAGAAAAGATGCCGTTAAAGAATAGGAGAATGACAATTGATGGAAGAAATAAACCAATTCTGAGCGAATATGAACGTACGTACATTTTTTGTTTGCATTGTTCAGTTCATTTCCGATACAAAATGTCCAAAGAAGATGACGCATGCGATACTTCGGAAACGCTTCGCGAAGGTAGAGGATGAACTGTACGGTTTTCATCAGTATATTGACGTTTCCGTTCATTTAGACACGCATGCGATCGCTGACGAAACCAAACATCTCATGCTCGAAGCTCGTTCGAGTTTAACAACAATCATATGTAGCATTCTAGTCATGTCTTTAGTCTCAATTTTCCTTTCCACTTGGCTCGCGAAGACAATCACCAACACTCCAGCATCATTTGGCTCCATCGTTAGCCATTATTTCGGTTTAGACCGAAATGGTAGTGAACCATATGTCACTTGGTGGACACCAAAGCATGCGAAACCGAATGAAATCCTCTCACGACATTCTTCAATCAATAGCACTAATTTGACTGCAAAAGTTCTTCCAATAACAATTCCATATAGCGATTATCCGAATTTTCATACTATTGTTTTGCCAATGTTATTTATTTGTGCGATCCTTTTGGCCGCATTTGCCTATTATACTCGTATGAAATGTACAAATCGTGATTTCGCATGGGGTGCTGTTCCTAAAATACCATTAGGACGTGTCGACCCTAAAACAGTGGCCGTCGCTCTTGCGAAAGCTGAAGACGCTGAACTTGGCATTGACTACACCATTGTTCAAGGAACAACTGAAGAGCCGGTAGTGTTTTCTCTAGCTGAAACGATCGAACCTCCACGAAAAGAAGGAGATATCGTTGATGAAGGCACTCAATATGAATCAGAAGATGTTTTAAAGTAAGACGAATCGAACTTCAACTCATTATTTTACTTCGGATTTCTAGAGTGATTACTCATGTTTCATCTGCGCCTCAATTGCATAAGAATGCTCAACTTGTACCCTCAGTGACGCCATCTGAAGAGCAAAAGCATCTCATTGAACTCTTACAACGAGAACCGTTGCCTACGCTTTCACCATCGAAATGAACGCTCATCGCTACCATGTACAGAAATCAAATTATTCGATCTGTCGTTCAATTACTTGTTTTGTCTTTTTTCTTATTGTATAATTTTATATTAATTAATTGATAAAAGGCAATAATAAAGTGTTCTATAGAACCGATGATCTTCCTACAAGTCGAAACGCCATGCTGGGAATATACGTACGAGGAGAGCATTCGAACATAGATGTATTTAGAAGAAAGAAATATCGAACTATGCTAATGATGTTGAAACATTGGGGAGGTTTGTGCGACCTGCCGAGCGAGAGAATGACGACAATCCACACCTTTCAGTAGCGAAGGAGAAACGGAGCAATGTTTCTTTGCCATAATTAATGAATGCAAATCAAGACATTTCAGCCGGAGATCACGTCCGAATAGAACCTTATTTATTTACTGAGTGTTGTTCTCGTTCATCGAGTAATATCAACAAAAGAACATGCTTCGAAACGGTGTCGAAGGGCGGTGTCATCACTTCTGTTTTTCTTCCTTTCCTTCAATTGTTTATCTTAGATTTTTCGTTTTATATAACGAACAGATACATGAAGTGATTGATTGACTCTTCCTCTTAATATACACATCGTACCATACGCGTGCTGTTGTATCTGTTGCCTTTCGTAAATCAATATTGAATGAAGACTACCATTATGATCAACGAGATGATATTATATAAATCTATTCAAGCAGTAGCATGGAGCTTAGAACTGATTAAGTCACACCCTGAAAAATCTCTGCATAGACAAATACTTAATCTCGTACATCATTTGCAATCTTTTCATTGGACAAGTGCATCAAATAATGATTTTTCTCATTTCTATTGGCTCGATAATGGGAGACATTCTCGCATCTATGCACGATGATTGCATCGATCAAATGGAGTAATTTGCATTGAGAATTACAACACTATTGCTTTTCAGCTGGCAATTTTCTCGGGAATAACGACATAGTTATGTCGACATAGAAAGAAGGAGAAAGGGAAAGACGAAGAAGAAACAGAAATAACGCTTCACCATCATCAAGATGATAATTGCACAGTGCCTGGTTGGATAGTGGCAGAAAAAACACAGTCAGTGCGTTATACATTGTGACAACGATAGAGAGAAAACGAGCCTATCAGAATGCGCGAGAGGAGAGAGAAGAAGAACACGAATAAAAAGTGAGAAAATCTATTCGGAGAGAAAGAGAAGAAAAGACAGAAGACAGAAGATACTTCTCTATCCAAATAAGAGAAATTATCATGAGTACTACGACCGACAATCTAATCGAAGACGAAACCATGACTGGTAAGAAATCGAGCTTCTATTTCTTTGAAAAAAGTATTTCAATCTTTCTTTCTATGATATTACAGAATCGGACAATCGAAAGAGTTTTCTCATATCCAATCTCTTATCTGGTGAATCTCTGTTAGACGCCGAAGAAGACGAAGAAGAAGAAGAAGAAAACAATTCAATGAACGATGATTCAATAGAAGGAAAACTTCCTGATGAAACCAAATTACATCGAGCATTTCCAAAACCCTCAATGACATTTCCACGTTTAATGTCGACAAATGATTTTTCCTACCTCTATTATCTTAGTTATCAATACTTCGCCATGCAAATGTCTAAAACGAATCCAATCCAGCCAACCAACCATCCTTCGATAAAAAAACCGTGTTCATTCACTCCGCCAACCTCTTCATCATGTTCATCGTCATCTCCCTCACCAAATTCAACAATCAATTCACGTTATCAGTGTGATGGCTGCTCTAAATCATACTCAACATTTGGTGGACTTTCTAAACATAAACAATTTCACTGTATCGCTCAAATAAAGAAGCAATTTCAATGTAAATTTTGTGAAAAGACCTACAATTCATTGGGCGCCCTGAAGATGCACATTCGCACACATACGCTACCGTGTAAATGTAAAATCTGTGGTAAGGCATTTTCACGTCCATGGCTATTGCAAGGACACGTTCGCACACATACTGGAGAAAAACCCTTTCAATGTGAAATCTGTTGCCGAGCCTTTGCCGATCGATCAAATTTGCGCGCACATATGCAAACCCATTCGGATATAAAAAAATATCGCTGTACGAAATGTTCAAAAACATTTTCGCGTATGTCCTTACTCAATAAGCATATGGAAAACTGTTTGCAGCAAACAACAACGTCGGTGCCTGTGCCAACAATAGCAGACACGAATACTCTTGACGAGTGTAGCAGTACGGCTGCACTTTCGATTTAACATAGGGTTTTCTCAAGTATTTGGCAAGTATTTTTCTTTCTCATGTTACGTATGTACCCTGTTCATTCTAATGTGTATTTATTTCACTAACTCACCTTATTGCATACATATGTACACTTTTCGTCTTTGTGCATCTTTCTCTTTTTGTGACAATTTGTTCTTTTTTTTTCTCTTTATAATATAAAAACGATAGACAATCAGAAGACATTTTTGTTTTCTTCTTGCCGAACGAACTCATAGGAAATGAATACTCGAATTGTACCACCGTGTCGGGATAGGACGAGTGAATTTCCGTTTCGGTCAGTTTCCTGTTCGAGATTCCTCAGTCAAATTGACGATAAGTTAAGAATTTACGAAAGATCTGACGATCATTCATCATTATCGAGAACAAACGACTTATGTGCTCATAAATCACCTTTCCTCCTCTTCCATTCTTCAAGTCTCTCGCCCTCTCTATCTTTCTCTTAATCGATTAGATATATTCTCGGAAAAGCGAACAACCGTTAAATTGAATATAAGCATAGTTCTGCTTTAACGAGTGTTAATGATGAGAAAACAGACTTCGTAATTATTGCCGCCTCCATTGAAATCTCAAAGAATGTGAGTTTATCTGAACATAGAACTGATCGTGATTGACGTTTGTTTTCTATCAAAAGAAAACGAATGGAGCGGGTGGAGAAGATAACCTGTTTGTCTAGAAAAGCAATCCTATCATTCAATGTAGCAGACAAATGAGCAATAAAGCGATCATATTATATAGTATTCTTTCTCATCGACGTTGTCAATGGTTAATATTTATCACGAGTCCAACGATAAACAAGTATCGATCTATTCTGCCCTTCTGTTGTTGCCATTTGTCAGCCTGTTTTGGCAACCTGCTCGTCTTTCAATCTTACTTGCCTATTATCATTATCATCAGTTGCTTGTTTCGTGATGAGTTGATCAGAACGCGTCTGCTAGTGTTATTGCAACTGATCATTCAGCAAGAATGTACACGCGAATGCTGGTCATTATGTATATACAATGAAAAATGTTTGTTGATTGACTCGCCTTGTGTGTGTATGTGTGCTGAGCACGTAGTCTCTAACTGATGATGACGAGTTTCCGACTTCACTTATACGTATCACATTCGATCAACGTGCTCCGTTAAGTTCAGAGCCAACCTGCCAGATATTGAACATCTGTAATAAACACGAGAGATGGGAACTTTCTGAGTGATATACCAGATTACAGCGTGATCTTTCATCTCCATTGGAAATGAATCGTTTAATAGCAGTACTCGTCTTTATTGAACTGTATAATAGAACTTTTATTTATTTCAATTCCCAACGGTTTGAATTGACTTTGTTTATTTGATGTTAGTCAATTGTATGTTCAGCATGAATGAAAATTGTATCGAATAGTTCGTTGTTTCTTTTGAAATCTTTGATGATTTACGTATATCTTGTTCAATAGTTAATGTCCTTTCAGTCAGATGAGTGATGATAGATGATTCCCAGAAATCAGAATGTACGTATGCTGTCTGTCGAATGAGAATGAATAGATCTATTTAGCACGTGGAACAGTAAGTAGCTTGAGAAAGAGAACGGACGGGTACACAGAAGAAAGCATCTTTTCTAATTATCATTTGACATATAGCACGATCAACGAAGAAGAAATATAAGCAGCAGCCAAAAAATACCGTCGAAACGTCGAGCTTGACGATGACAGACATCATCACTTTCACCATCATCGACCGGTCTGTTGTTCGAAATTCCAATGGTATATATATAAACATTTTGTCTTTCAACACTTGTCGTCACTATGAGGCTGGCTATTAGATGCTAATATCGGAAGAGAAGAGTACGGAAGAAAAAAAAATCAATTTCGAGTTTGTGACATTTGTATATACTCATCAATAAGAATGCAAAAGGGCATAGGAACTAATCATTAACAATAGGAAGATATCAGAAAAGATGAGATCGATTTTTTTTTCAAAACTTTCTATTTTGGTTAATCAACAAACGATACAGTAAACACTTCTGACATTATTCTTCGCTTAATCAAAAGAGCAAATCTTTTCTACATGCTCGTTTAGTATAAGAGACGGTTTTGTCGAAGATTCGCATTGACTTGACATTATTTCGACGATATTTTCCAACATGGAAAAGCATTTTTTTCCTTAATATCTTCTTATCAATTCTAAAAGGTTTGTATCCATCAAGCAGAGAGGTGCATATTGGCGTGAAAAATGACTTTCTAATGGCACCACTAAGCAGGCGTGGATTTGCCACGCACATATACATAATAATTCGTATATAATATTCTTGACGTCGTCCACCGCTCGGTCTCGATCAATCATTTTCCCTTCTTTCGACATTTGTCGATCTGTTGAAGAAGACGAGCAATCCATATGGATAAAAACAAACAAAAGTCAACTGATTCTTGAAAATTTTTGCTCATCAATCTTATGACAGGTGACTTCTTTCAAGAATGAATCTAAATATTCGTCACTCCAAGAAACAGGACTACGCGAGTATAAAAGCGAACTTCTCGATCAACATGGTCATCTGATTATCTTGTTATCACTTTCTACAGATCTTTCAAGTCAATGCACTGCATAATTTAATCTATGCTTCGCTAAGCTCTGACTACAAAATGGAACAGGCGACAGCAGGCAGAAGCACCACTAATATATGTTCGATGTTACTGATCGCTTTTTCAGATAAGTCCAGTTAGCATCGTATAGGGAAAAAAAGCAACACGCTTGTTATCTAACGTGTATGCAGTGAAGAATGTCGGTTAATTATTTTCAAAGAATCCTTTTCCATGTGAAACGAAGACAAATCAGATTGATCAAAGCGCAGAAAATATGGGTAAATGCCTTTGAACTCATCAGGAACAGAAGTAACAGCAAGTTGAGCACTAGTCATCGAAAAAGAGATCATCTCTTTTGATTAGGAAGGAACACTTCAGCGTTAATCGTTATTTTATTTTCATATCGATACGAATCAGTAGCGGCAGAATGTTGCTCGTCGAATCGTTTAATTTTTCGCAGTGAACCATTCACTGTCTATTTGGTCAATGTTGACTTTCATCTGTTTGATTAAATTGTACAAGCAGATAAATTTGAAAAAAGCATATGCACCCGACTTCAAGATGACTGGAAAGGATAACAAACGGTTTCTCTAAGGATCAGATAGTTCGTTTTCAAGATAATTCAGACTAGACGGTCTTGTTACAGTATAATCAGTTGGAAAGGACAATCAGAACTCGCTTCGCATGCATCATGTGACCTTCTTTCGCAGACGGAATATAGCTTTAAAACTATCTTGCATACTTGTGTCGAAAATACACCACATTGTCTTGTAGATATGAATTAATCAATTCCATTTCCTTTTCAGAATTTGAAACTGACTTGTGTCTCTTTCTGAAAGTAACCAAAGCTTTGTTTTGAATTGACTCTATCTTACGCATTGGTCGATATACCGATGCAAATCAGATATGGAATGACGTCAACACGATCTAATGATAGAATTCCTAATTTGCGAGAAATATCAAGCGAAATTTGACACGTACGTTCACCTGTCAATATACGCTCCAATCAAATATTGTAGAGGGCGTTTATCTAACTTAACCTTTCGTATCATTTTCGACGAACAAAGCCATAAACATTTTCATTTTTCAAATGGCATCGCTGGTCGTTCATACTATCGTTGGATTTCTGTTCCGACTTGTCTTAATTTTTGTCGGTGACGTCTATGATAAAGATCTAGCTGGCGATGGACCGCTGTACACTGATATCGATTATCGTGTTGTCACCGACGGTGCAAATCATGTTTTACACAACGAAAGTCCGTATCAGCGTACAACATATCGATATACACCTTTGTTGGCTTATTTACTAACACCAAATCTATTTCTTGATGAAAACTGGGGAAAATTGCTCTTTTCAATTTGCGATGTTCTTGTCGGTGTCTTCATTGCAAGGATCCTACCGTTGCAACACCGGAAATATGCATTACTATGGTTTTATAATCCCATGTCGGCTATAATTGCAACTAGAGGTAGTTACGAGGCGATCGTAGCTGCCACTGTACTCGCGACACTTTATAATGCAAAGCAACCCAATGAACGTACATGGCTTACAGGAGTAAGTCTTTTCGTATTTCAGTCATAATTCTTCTTTTCATCTTGCGTTTTCATTTCAGATTCTCCTTGCATTTGCTGCACATTTAAAAATCTATCCAGTCATATATTCTCTTGCATTATATTTTCACATTGAACGTAGCCTATCCTTACATCTGACATCTCGTCGTTTTCAACTGGTGATCTCTTTCGTTACAACTACGATTCTTCTCAATATATTCTTTTATTACCTCTACGGTTATGAATATTTACACGAAACATATCTCTATCACATTATTCGTCGCGATGCACGACACAACTTTTCACCATACTTCTATTTGACATACCTTAGTCCAAACCACCATTTACTTTCTTTGATAACATTTATTCCACAAGTATTGAATACGCTCATTTTTTCATGTCGATTGTATGATCAATTAGAATTGTGCTTATTTGCATTGACATTTTCATTTGTTACATTTAACAAAGTGACAACATCACAATACTTCCTTTGGTATCTGATATTCATACCTTTACTCTTGCCCAACTTACATTTAAAATGGAAAACATTGTTCATATGTCTTGTCGCTTGGTTAGGATCACAAGGCTGGTGGCTTTATGAAGCGTACCAACTCGAATTTCAATCGAAAAACACATTCGTCCAAATATGGCTAGCATCGATTCTCTTCGGTTTTGTCAATGTTTTCATTCTATGTATCATTCTTTGCAATTACCGTCAGATAAAACCTGTTCATGTTCCACCTGAGAAGACGAAACTAGAAAAGAAGAACGATTAAATCTTGTTACTACTATTTTGTTGTAAATAATCGTACATTCCATCTGTTGCTCATAAAAATAAAGTTGAACTTCACTTTCAAAGTGACTGACTCTCAGCTCGGATTCGTACTTGTTTTAATCTATAACTCATCGAAAAGTAATTCATTTACACTTTTGTATAGATCGATAGACATGAAATGGATATGATAAAAAGAAGATTAGGAGTCAAATTTCTCAATTCAGTACGTTTATCGAACAAAGCACAATGTAAATAAATCTGAATCTTTATCTATTATTCATATTTGAAACAAATTAGACCTAATTGAAGAGTCTCTTTCTTCTCCGATCGACGACTATCGACGTCTGAAACAAAACTCCATCTTTGCTCGCAAATTATACATATTGATTCATTGTCTATTGACAACATATCCTATGAATAATCAATCGAACTCGAATCCACATGCAATATTGAACATATGTCTCTCATGCGATTGTCTTCCAGTCAGACACTTGTGTCACATTTTTCTATATAGATGAAAAAACGATTATATGCACACATTTGAATTCCATCTCAATAGACTAATAATAACCCGTGCGCACGTATATCCAATTGTTAGTAATAAAAGTTTGTCTTATTCATCTTTGTTGTATTTGCATTTCTTTTCACACATTTCTGAGTGCATATACATCGATGTATATATTTATGTGTATATACATACACATACATTCATTAGTAACCCTTTCGCTCTCTTGCTCCCTCTCTATCTTTCTCTCTCTCTCCCACAGCAACGGAGACGACTTCTAAATAGGTTAGAAGAGCGGTCTGTCTAGACGTCTGTGCACTCGTACTTACATGGGTTCATGTCCATTTCGACAGCGGTAGTTGTTTCCTGCACGCTTTTTTCTCTCTCTCTCTCGATGGTTGTATTTGATAATTCTTCGTTGACTGACCAAGACTATCGTTCTTCCTCGGTCATTCTCTTGCGTATACATTGTCCAGACATCAATGCAAATACGTAGACACTACGGTACAAGTGAACGAGAGAAAGAAAAAGAAAAAGAAAATGCGCTATGGTAGTATTGCGCTTCTATCGTGTTCTTCGCCTTCTTCTTTTTTTGAGTAATAAAAAAGGAGAGAAATACGAAGACAGAGAATAGGACCAACAAGCTGGTCAGTCGTTCGTTATGTAGCTCACAGTGAAGTAGATGGATGTGTGGCGGAGAGGAAAGGTGGACAGAAGCAATAAATGGAACTTGACCAGGGAAAAGGTAAAATGTAAGACGGCAATCGGCAATGAACAGTGAAATATCAATATAGGAAAAAGTAGATTATCTATTTTGTAAACTATTTTCGTATCTCGATCGATGTATTGTCTTGTATTTAGTTTGTTGGAAGTGACGACTCATACCATCAGGATGGATATTTGTTCATTAACATCATCTTGTCGATTTTGAATTAACGATCGGAACAGCTGCCGTCGAAAATCTCAACAACAATCATTTATTTGTGTATACAAAGTTTTCTTCGTTATCGTCGTTTACCTATTTTACGTGGGAACTGATTTTCTTTGATATCGTATTTACTCTTGTCTCTTTTCTTTTATTCGTTATTTCTTAATCCATTTCTCTTTACGTTTTACATGATTATGTGTGGAACTTGTCTTTTCTTCTCAAACCCCGACGACGAACAGCGCGAGGTCCACAACAGTGATATATATGTGTACAGAGTCGGCGCTGTTGTCTTTGTCTATGTGTTTATGTCATTATTTACTCATATCTTCTTCATTTTCATTTTCTTTTTGTCTCTCTTTTTTTTTGCAATTCTCATAAATGTAGTATTGGGTCGTCAGATTAATCATCAAATGAACTTTTATCGAATGCATCTCACATATTACGCCTTTATTTGGTTCAGCAAGTAAATGACACTGATATGAATAACAACAGCGAGCAGAGACAACAAAGGAACATTGTGTTTTTAGGAAAAAAAGAGATATTCCATTGCGAACAGTCTATAGATATTTGTTAAAAAAAGACGAAGGAAACACATCCATTCTCTTTGTGTTGTTCGCTATGTAGATATTTACACATACACACGCACGCACACACACATGTAAACACAAACATGTAGAAAGAAAAGAAAAAAAAATGTGGACATGTAGATTATTGTTCTTTTATTGTTGACTGCGACCACGGAATCCACCACCGCTGCCACCCCCACGGCCCCCACCGCGCCCATAGGGTGCACCGCCACTGCCGCCTCGGCCTCCACCTCCACGACGCATAGGGCCACCACCGGACGACGAACCATAATTCTGACCAAAGCCAAATCCTGACGGTTGACCAAAAGCTCCAAAGCCTATTAAAATATCAGTTATATTTATAGAATTAATTTTTTTTTGGAGAGATGATTTTGATTTACCTTCGTCATAACCACCTCGGCCACCTCCACCCATTCCATAGTTGTCTCCACCCATTGGTGCAGATCCACCAAAGCCCATCATACCACCATTACCGCCCATATCGCCACCATAGCCACCACTATATGGCGGAGGCCGACTATTATAGTCTCCACCGCCTCCGTAACCGCCGCCGCCACCTGATCGATAGCCGCCGTTACCGCTACCACCTCCTCCATAGTTTGGTCCACCACCCATAGGACCCCATCCACCACTGCCGCCAGTTCCTCCACCGCCCATTCGTGAGGACGGTCCGCGCATGCCACCGCCGCTGCTACCACCACCCCCTGAGCCACCATATTGAGATTGTGCCATTCGGCCACGCGCTGTCTGATCTTTTGGTAGAGCTTTTTCGACGTTCACGGGATTGCCTTTGACAACATGATGCTTTTCAAGAACGATTTTATCGACTGGATCATAGCTACAAATGCGAAATCTTCAGTTCTATCAATATAATTAATTATCGATATCTTACTCATCAAATTCAACAAATCCGAAGCCTCGAAATTTGCCTTCATTTGTTTTCATAATTACAGTTTGAACAATATTACCATACTAAATTGAGCAAAAATAATCAGATCTTATTCATTTTTTTCACTTCTTGACAAACTTACTTTCGAAAAGTATTCTTTTAGATCATCTTCATTTAGGGTTCCTTCTCGTATTCCACCAACAAACAATTTTTTAGCACTTAGGGACGATTCTGGTTTTCCACTTTCTTCTCTAGGTATCGCTCGTTTAGGTTCTATTTCGCGTGAGTCTAGGACGTGTGGGCGAGCAGCCATTAATCGATCAACCATCGATGAAGATAAATAAGTAACAAAACCAAAACCTAATCAGCCGTATGAATAAGTATCAAATGTTTATCTGTCTATGGTTTACCTCGAGAACGATTATCACGATCACGCATTATAATACAGTCCTGAAAAAAAGAACACACTCATTTATATTCGCTCGATTCCGATTGCTCTTTAACTTACGTCTATATCTCCATATTTTGAAAAATAATCTCGAAAAGTTTGATCGTCTGTTTTATATGATAAACCACCGATGAAAACTTTTCGAAGTGCTTCTGGTTCTAAATCACTTTTATTGATTGCTGGCTGACTACTCTCATCATCATATGTGTTCTTCGTTGGTTCTGTTGGCCCTTCGGATGATGATTCGAAATTTCCAATATTTGTATTGGTTCCATTTGAATGCGACAAGCCATTTGTTTCTGATGCTTCTAATTGATCATTGTTGATTGCTGCAGTCGGATTCATTTCATTATTAGCAACTGCATCAGTTGCCGTTAATGCTTCCGTTGACATCTTATGAATCAAGAAAATAGGTTACTTTTTTTATCGAGTGATGATCTAAAATGGAATCTCAACTTGTTTGCTCATCTGTTTTTTACTAAATGCATACATTTAATATGATTTTATACAAATACATAATATATATATATATACTCCTCTCGTTACATAACACGAACAGAAATGCTTTGTTTTTTTTTTCAAAATCGAAATACAAACGCGAAGAATAAAACTTGTGTTCTGTCGATCAATATAACCGTATGCACAATGCTAGTATATGTGTCTCTCACTCGTTCACGAGATGCATCATAACTACCGATAGACGGGCTCTTCCTATGCCTGCCTCTGTCGTCTAAATCTACAAATAGACAAAATCAGTAAAATACTCTCGTTTTCTCGGTTGCTCTTCATCATATAAATTTTTACTCATCCCAATGTATTGTCATTGAAATCAAGGTGCTTTAAGAAATGTTTGTTTTTCGTATTTACCTTCTTGCTGATTCAATTGCGAATTGAAATTCACCTATTACAAGCATTTTCTATATCGACGAACTCCCATAGCCGACCACAACTTCACATCATTATCGCCGGTATTATTTCCACTTTATCGATATCTGGAAGAAAGACTTCCTATTTACCAAAAATCATTTCCAAAAGTATTCAACAAGTCATCCTAACGCATCTCAAACACTTACCATTCATTAATAACGATAATTACGTAAGAACCGCCATTAAATAACTGATCAATTTCACTATTATATTTGATTTTTTTCTCTACTGCATTATCCCTTCGCATTTCATCAAGCTACGAATTGCCAACTATTCCTTTTGATCCACAAGTCTGAAAAGAATCGAATTGACCCCGATTAATTTCAATCTACTAGCAAACATATACTCATGCCGCTTACTTCGCTGCCCGATGATTGTTAAATTGTACTTCACACCCGAATGATCCATTGTATAATACCGGCATACCACCGATCGATTCTAATATTAATAACAATTACTCGAAATGTCACTCCCGTTCACCGTCAATACGAAGTGCGTATCACCAAAAGGGCAACAGAGAGAAAGAAAAAAACAAAGGCCTATTTATTTCAGCTGTGATTGGCTGGTCAGTAATGAGTTCGTTCACAATAAACAATCCTATCAATTTCATCGATAAAAAACATAAAATCAAGCGTAAATTTTACGCTAAATATCTTCTCGTAAATATTTCACGGAACCGACACATTTCTTATTAGTTCAACACCGAGCAATGACGACCTCTATTGACAAAGAGTCTTCGCAATAAGCACAGAACGTTTATTACAGAACAAGCACTAAAATGCACAGGAGCAAAAGATTATTCACTCGAATGAAAGTTATAATTTGGTCCGTGAAGGGTTTCCAAAAGCGATTGTATGTAGCGAATAGCACCATCGACTGTATCCATACGAGACATTTTTTGACGTTTTCGTCCTTTTTTGTAAGGTAGCACATTTCGTAACTGCTCGTAGGCTTCATTGATAATTTCCATTCGATGACGTTCACGGCGATTGGCTTCTTGACGTTGAGGACGTGAAAGCACACGACGTTTCTTGTGAATATGTTCAGTATCTCCGTAAAATTCGTCGACATCACTTTCTTCCAACGGTCTTTTCTTCGTTCCGCGGACATCATGAAGAGTATTGTAGTTGCACTCCTAAACATTCGAAATGCTTTAGAACTAGAATTTAAGAGAGTTGGAATAGAAACCGACTTTGAGAAACGATGTAGGTGAGAACGACGACTCGATCAAACTGCTTTCATTAGCAGCACTTTCGTAGCCCGACGATGAGTTCAAACTAGCTTGTACTGATGAATTTAGTTGTGAAGCTGTTGAATAGTACGGGTAGGAATAATAGTTCATTGGATAGCAAGGTGATGATTGGCAAGGCCAGCCGGAAAGATTCATTTTGACTCTAATGAAGTGCCTTGGCTGTACAATTTCATTTTATATGTTCGTTCCAGTACGAAATCTCTCGATAAATAATCAATTTCCACTCATTTGGATGAATATTTCGTCATCTACTCATCGAGATAAATGTTCATTAATTAAAAACGATTAGCAACTAATCATTTATTCGTGAAGAGAGAACCAGAGATAGAGAGAGAGAGGGAAGGGAACGTTATGGCTAGTCTGATATGACAATGAGCGTAGCGGTGTGATGGTGACATGTTTTAGTTCCACTAACTCGTTGCAACATTCTAACAGCTGCATATCATGCGTGACGAGCAAATCTAACATGAGGTTTAGTTTGAAAAACGATATTCGATTTCAGAGGTGTAGGTATTATTAGTTTATTACGTAAATAATGATAACATAACGAAATCTAAGCTAACGATTTTTGTATATACATAAGCAAAACAACGAGAACATAATTCAACATGAATTACAACTACTGTTCAGAAGGCGAAATTGGTGTCAAAGGAAAAGATTTTAGACAATCCACACAAGTAGTTGATCAACAGAGGAACGTTGTCGTCGTCGTCTTCGTCGAAGACTGCTACTCGTATTCGTTTGATATTGATAATATTGTAGTGTAGCTGAATGATGGTAATGGCGATGAGGACTGGGTTCTTTCGAGCTTTTCTTTTTCACGCTACTTTCCTTCTGTTTTTGGTTATCAGTATTTACTGATTGAAATGCACGTTGCCGACACAATTCGCAGGCAATGAATGGTCGTGTGCGTCTCTGTTTTGCAAATACCGGTGTCGAACAGCGTGGACTTTGAGGAGAGGACATTGCTGATGATACTGCAGATGACGAATTGGACAGTGTCGTTGGATGATCTAGAATGAAGGAAGTCAAGATGAAAAATCAATTGAGAAAAAGAGAAGAATGTCGGCATCGGTGGCATTTGATATTTGACTAAATATCCGAGTCAACAAGTGTTTGAAGAGCATTCTCGTCTACGGCACATGTTTTCGTTTGTCTTTTGAACAAATGAGATGATATACCTGAGGAGAGGCGAAGAAATTGCATTTTTTCATGTTCAACTCTCGAAAATAAAACTTCGTGTTTAAGTGGGGTAAATGGGAGAAGGGCGGATTAGTCTCAGCGAAGTTCAAAGAGAAGAAAGCAATCCGACAACTAAATACTTAAACAATCGATCATATCCTCCTTGATCATAAGTAAATGTTCAAGGAAAATAAAATAACGCAATTTCAATCAGACAGTTTTGTGCAAAACAAACTTCGTCATTGTCGAGACAGTCGAAATGCTTCTCGCAGCTTTTCTTTCGAAAATGACAATTGTTGTTTATCGATCACAGGCTTTACTGACTCGAAGAAAGCGAAACGCGAAGTGATGCTGTTCTTTTTAGCGCTTACACACTCTCAATATAGGATATCCTGTCGCTCTTTTCAACTCTATTGATTTTCATTTAACATAAAACTGTGACTTTTCGTCTTGACGGGCGCGACTCATCCCCAGTTAATGTATTCAAACGAAAGGCTGATTGGCAATCAAAAACGACTGACTTTCATAATCAATTAGATGTACAACGAAAATTAGCATATCTACCTGCTACTGTTGCCGTTGTTATTCGGGGTTGTAACGATGCTTTCGGTGTTGACGAGCGAAATAACATGCCAACTTGACATCGAGATGATTTGGTAGGAAGAGGTTGGAAAGACAGATTCTTTCGCTTCTTCGTATTCACTGGCGATGATGAATAGAGGATTGATGCGAGTGAATTCATTAATTCGTTTGGATAATTATCTGAAAGACGAATATCAGAAGAGAATAGTTTATATAGCATGAAGAGAAAACATCATCTCCGATTATTCATCGTAAAAATGAATATACGTATCACATCGAAAGAAGATTAATCGGGCGGCACCCGATATAATTATCCTAGCAGAAACGTTTTTCTCTCTTTCCATATGACGACGTAATCAAAGTAAAAATGTTTCGCTGTCATTATCGATGAGGCATCACATCGAAATGACGATTTATTATCAGGTGGTAATATCGTCGACGCTCTTTTTCTTCATTTCCTCTCTCTCCCTCTCTCCCTTTCTGTCGCTCTTTCAAGAGAAATGTAATCGCAAGTGTTAATAACTTTTCCTGTTACGAACCTATTTGAAGTTACGTAGTGCTCGTGCATCACTCATTCTCGCTTATCCACACCTATGCGTTTGTCGGAACGAAGAATTAGGTGAGCAAGGCGCATCACTTGATTGCCAAAGCAAAAAATAATAAAAACATCTACGTAGACATCTTAAGATAAAACAACTGACTCTTACGAGCGACGATCGTCATATAATAGAAATTAAGTCTCGGCAAATGAAGAAAAGGAAAGGTGCTGAAGAATTAACGCGTCTATCTACAGCTTTTCAAACAGTTCAAAAAAGAATAACATTCATTAAAGTCTAGTGAGAAAATATATAGCATATAAAAGTAAAATCAAAACAAAAGAAATGCCATTAGCAATAAAACGGTGAACAATGTGTTTAGTCAAAGTCGTATCCGGAAGAGAAGAAAAATCAAAGATTTTTCTCGACGTATTACAAAGAAAGAAGATTAACGAAAGATTAACTTGTCGTATGGTCTCCTATGCGTTGACTTCGCTCCGTCGTCGACTCACCTGTTTCTTTTTGCTGATTAGTATTCTTGATTGTGAAAACGAAATGCGTTGATGCGAAAGTAAATTGAATTAAAAGTTGACTGATATCCACTGCATACAGGAGAGGAAAAAGGCAAAAGAGAGCAAAAAAAAATCATCGATTGGATGTCATGACTTCTCTTTTCGCCTTCGTTCATTGGATGGAATATCTGTAAAAGGTGGCAATTGTCAAATCGATAGACTATGCGCATAAGATATCAACACCTTTGGAATATCCGTTATACTCAAGTTGTGTCTTTTCTCGACAATATGCAAGAACGAATATTAAGTTGATGATTTTTCTCACTCGAAAAAAAGCAAACTGACAAATTCGTTGTTGTTAACATCTACATNATATGGAGATATTCTGGACACCATTAAGAAAAGCTGTTGCTCGAAATATCGAATGGATACAATATCGCTCTTAGTGAAACGAATCTCCCGTGGTGTTTTAAAAAAATACACATACAGCGGCCTTTTTTCCACTTGTTATTTTTTGTCGGTTCAATCATTGTTTGTTTTTCTAAGACTAGTTCAAGGAAATTAGCAACTTGATTTCATTGAAGTCTATTTCCATTCGATGCGGGAGTGGATACACGTGTGGGTGTGTGTGTGTATTTACCTTTGTTTATCCTGCACTCTCTATGCCGAGAAGCATTTTCATCTAACAGATAATTATCAATTTTACTGCTCTTCTTTTTTCATATTTTTATTACAAGCTGATTTTGATGATTTCAACAAGCACGTATTCTTAACCGATACGTGTGAGATCTTTTGTTGTTTTGATTTGCCTCTATTTATCAAGTTAAACAACGGTTTGCTAATACGACATCGATTCTGGACAAAAAATTATCTCAACATATATTCTGACCGGAACAATAATATGCCAATATATTCTCAGTTAGAAGTTTGAAAAAAATTTGCAATCATTCGATTGTAAACGAGAAACAGATGTAGTGCGCAAAGGAGACAACCAAAGGCACAGTATTATGCCAATTGAAGGATTCTATTTCATTTCCTGCCCATGGTGTGAGTTGACCTTTTCCTTGTTGGAACAGCATTGAAGCGTTTAGTTAAAATGAAGCGAAAAAAATCAAACATCATGCCGAGTCAAATGAGACCCAATTATCATAACTAAAGTCAGCCGGTTAGAATTGTACATTTTGTCAACTGTGTCAGCTGGCTAGCGAACATTGTATTTATAGAACATACAAATAACTAGTCGAGAGTTCAATGGCTGATAGTCATCCCCAGAGGCTACCATCGAGATCTACTACAATGACGAGTACAGCACACGACTATGAACACGAACAAATATTTGAACATTGATTATAACTTCAAGTTTGTGCATAGTTGAACTTCTGCGTGAAGTATTCAATGAACTTCTCGAATGGAACAACTATTTTAGACTTGCACAATTTCATGCATGCCATCTGATCTCAGTCGATCAGAATAGTACACTGTCTGTTACTTGATTAACTTTCGAACAACGAACTATATCTATAAATCTTTGCTGTTCATTAAAACTGATTGCCTTTAGTCTGATGTTTTTTTCTTGTACTGGAAATATGTGATAAACAGACTCTTTTTATCGATCAGTATTACGTACGTTTGATGTTAATAGAAGGGAACATTTCTTGTTACGTTGACCATATGCGATACATACCATGTTTATTTCCCATCTAATCAATTGTACAATAATCACTGGGAGAAATACGATCAAAATAACTCGAGTTCATTTAAGTATCTTTTGCTAATTGGAGATATGCACAAGAAATTCTTATTTATATTTCCTTCTTCTTCCTCCTCTTCATCATCATCATCACATTGCAACAGCTAATTTAGATCTTTTGATCTTCAAATGTTAACACTGATCGTTATCTTGGTTTTTTCCCAGTTACATCTATGTTTATACATATAGACACACGTCTAGTACTATTGTTGTTTACGTCTAGTCTTAGATACATAACTCAGAGCGTCACATGTTCGTTTATTCAATACTTTAACATCATACGGTTCGTTGATTGTTAAGACTAACTGAACACCGTCAATTGTCACTGTTAACCTTTGTCCGTTCGTCGGTGCGTTTTTCAAATTTGTATTAAGATTAAGTAAGAAGAGAATGAACATCTTCTTCTTCGTTTTTCTTTCTCAGCTATTTATACGACTCGACATGATGTCCGTTCATTCTTTTGTATTTTACGTCTTCTCATCAACAGAAGGACTTAGGGAGTAGTAATCTAAAGAATAATCAACACCCACTAAAGTCAATTTAACAATGTTGCATGACGAGTGCACACGCACATAAGAATCTATCTATCTATCTATTCGTTCATCCCACAAGGGTCAATGATTATCATCCTCTTCTCCCGCTGAACTGACAGTCATTTTTACTTCTTGCCGTTAGGGCGGTAATTTCTATTTGCATGCGAACTATTCTTCTTCTATTTCTTATTGTAGATGTAAATGGTCATTACAATAGCAATGATGATCTTTTTTTCACCTAAGTCAATAGAACTCAATCAATCAATCTTATATATGTATATTGATTATTGAAGAGCTCAAGGTAAGTAGAAACGAACGAAAGAGAAAGAAAAAGAGAAAAAAAAAGAAGGCGGCTAGTAGTAACCATCACAGTTTCATAACAGAAAAACGAAACATGAAATGTAAAGAAGTAATGACACATATTCTTTTCGATACAATACCAAATTGGATGAAATATCACCATGAAAAAGAAAACCGGATTGTTCGAAAGGTAATTCCAAAGCAGATACTACTCTCATTCACAAAATTGCCGCGTTTCACTGTCATTAAATACTTTGACATCGCTCATTTTCAACAATGAACTTGTTTAAATATAGTATAGACGAATATTTAAATGAACTGACGTACATAAATTATACTTGAACTACGTTGATACGTCGTCACCTTGATTTGTATTCATCAATCGTTATCTTTTATTTCTAAGGTATATAGTATTGGTGACTTATGCTATCTCAACGACTACGACCAATCCTTCTCGAACATGTCTAAACCACAATTTGAAAAAATCAAACGTCATCTTTCGTCGTCTTCCAACTTAACTTTGAGTAATCATACAATATTGACAAGTACTCTGGGCAAGTTATTAGTTCGAGTAAGTGTTCGTAGGAAATGGCGATTGCCGATCTAAACACGTCATTATCTTCTCTTCTTTGACCGACATCGTTCTATTTCCGTCGCAATCATTGAGAAACTCTCCGAGTAGAGAAGAGAAGAAGAAAAAGAATTATTCTTCGATTAGATACAGAGACAATGGCAAGCAGGTGTTCATTTTGTACATTCGCACAAAACGACAGAAATCAGAACGATTGATTCCGTGTTTTTCTTTATGCAACCATCAGAAATTAACACATCGTTCGCCAACTGATGCGACAAAGAGTACAAGTGACTTGTCGTCTGGTCAACACTATGAACAACCAAACTCATCGACAATGGACACAAAAATGATTCTGAAAGACAATCTAAAATTTATCGAACGGATTGGTCAAGGAAAACTGGGTGTTGGTAAGTTGAAATATCAATTTGTACTTCGTTCATCTTGTCTCTTTAGTTCTCAAAGCATTCTATCGAACGAAACAAAATGAATTAGTAAATACAATTAAAAGAAAAACTTCATTTCGTTGATCTTCTACTTGTTCATGTTTAGTTAACCGTAGCTGTAAAAAAACTCGATTTAAAATTTCATTACAACGACATATTGAAAGATGTTAACGTTCTACAAGAAATCAAACATCCGTACATTCTCCAATTCTTCGGTATTACCATTCATACAGACCGTTCGATACTGTTTGTAAGTTTTGTCAAAAAATAACATCTGATATTTTCATTCAATGAACGACCTTATTCAGATAATGGAATATGCACCGATGAAATCACTTGATGATTGTTTGATTTCCCCGAATGCCAAGAGAGAATATACTGTGCAAATTTTATTTGAATTTATTAAACAAATAGCAGCAGCATTGAGCTACTTAGAGAAACGATTTTTCATCCATCGGAATTTAACTTGTCGAAATTATTTGGTCTTCAACAAGTCACTTGTGAGTATTGATTGAACAATGAATCGATCCGACTCTTTCCCTAGGTGAAACTTTCAGATTGGAGTTTTGGTCATTTGAATGCATCATGGAAGGAAAGATTAAAACTACCAATAGCATGGATGAGTCCCGAAGCGATACATTCTCATTGTTTTTCGATTGCATCCGATGTTTACTCATTCGGTGTTTCAATGTGGGAATGTTTCAGCTACGGACAAGTGCCATGGCAAGGAATGACCAATGATCAAGTAAGATTTTCTCTTTACGCTTTGACGAGTTTCGAGAAATGAAAGAAAAACGCTTCTTCTCTAGATTAGTGAAGTCATCGATGCATCGAATTATCAACAGTTGCCAAGGCCATCGCATGCGACATCTGAACTGTATCAACTAATGCTACATTGTTGGAAATATGAACCGTGTGAACGTCCAACATTTTCTGAATTAGAAATGACATTAGCCGAAGTCGATATCATTATCTAGAACAGAGAGTAATATCATCCATTGACTTGTCATATTCTTATAGATCGAATTGGAACAAGTTCAATGGAAAAACAATCATAACACATCAATAAATCTACCTGATAATTTTCTTTCCATCCAATCATGTCTACTAGAACCGTTGACAATCCTTGATCGATGGTATGTGCATCAAATTACCACAACTAAGTATATATTATTAAGAACAGAAGAAGAAGAAGAACAGGGACAGCGCACGAGAGAGAAACTGAAATATGATGTGCATAAGTATTCGTTTTGTTGAGATTCATTGTTACATAAACATCATTCTCATTTCTTTAGCTGCATATATAAGTGAGCAAATAGAACAGAGCTTTTTATTTTGACGTGCGACGCGCTACCTTTCACGCACTTTTATTGATTGGTTTACAAATCAGTTTTGTTATGATGTCCTTGCGTATAGATATTGACATACTTGAAAGAAATATGTAAAAAACATCAAACTTAAACATATTGTACATTTATTTCTTTTCAGCCTTGACATTCCCAGCTCGTCATCATCAATCAAGAACTTTATTCAGTGTGTAACTGTCGACGGTCAGATAGGTTTTGTTTATATTAGTGACGTTGAACCGTTACATACACAAGCACCTTCTAAACAAACAATAAATTCCAGTCCGGCAACAATGAACCATATATTCTCTCGGAAAACAGGTATTTATAAAAAAAAAATAGCTATTCGTTCCTTTGACATCACGGACATGAGTAAGTAGATTCGACGAAGAGTTTGTGCATATTTAATAAGAAGAACACTTTCGCATAGCCTTGACAATCACAGATTCTTTTCTTTATCTTAGGCATAAAAAAGAATTCAACAAAAACAAGATGTAAACACCTATCCAAAGATATGATTAGTTCTCCTCAAGCTGATTTTATTCATGCATTTCATCTTGGAGTTGAAGGTAGCTCCCTGAATGTGAACTCTTACAACAACAAAAGCTATTCAAATATCGTTCTAGGTGAAGCCTTTGGTGATATAAGTTGTTTAAGTAAAATCGAAGATGCTGATCTAGATATTCAGTTCGCTTCGAAGAATTCCACGGACACTTCAATCGAACAACGATCGGTAGGAATGAAGTTCAGCTTTCTCGAATGCACTCGTGCTTGTTCTAGACTCCCGACCAATCTTCATCGTTGTTTGACGAGGTCATGCAAGCGTTCACAGAGATTTATTCGGAGCCAGAGACAACATCGGTTCATGAAGATCATCAACTGACAAGATCAGCATCACCACAATCTCTACCAGCAGATCAGGTATGTTTAAATAATCTGGTTGACAATTTCATTTGGTATATGTTTAGATTGAGCCATCGTCGTCTTACGATATAAATCAATTTCTATCCGATGACATGACAGGTGAATCAAAAAGATGATTTGACATGAGACATGCGAAGGTTGCTTTTTTTTTGTTTCAGATTCGAACAATCGATCATCTCCTTCATTTTCTCGTCTTCTATCGAAATTAAATGTAAAGAAACCAAATGAAAAAACATGTCGATTCACACGTGAACTCGAAGAACGTTCACGAACTGGTTGGTAAATTCTTTCCCAGTCGATAGACACCTCTCTTTCCTTTACTTAGGCAACTTGAGTGAGCAAGGCAAAAGCGCTTATAATCTCTTAATTAATCGATGCACCAGCAATTCGTCTTCTCAATCTTCAACACACGATGATCATTCATCGTCGTCTGTATCATCACATCACGAAAAACTTGATTTTCATTCACATTATTCATCTCGATCAAGTTTAAATTCTCGAGCATCGTCTCTCAATAAAGCTGAACAACATTCAGCCACTGGTCAACCGTTACCACCACCTCCCGACTTAACAACTCTCGGAAGCAAATTAACAACAGCTAACATGACTAATACATTTAAGTTACCTGTTTCTCTCGTCGCCAATAAATATTCGACGAAAAGTACGTCCAAGAGAACTGATTTCCATTTTTCTTAGAGACACTTAGATCATCGTAACTCATGTTAAGAAGATCTTCATTAATGAGTAAAACTAAATCCGCTTCTCTCTGATCCTTGAGCAAGTGATGGAATGTTTATACTTATTTATGAAACGTTTCTAAATCTGGTAGGACATGCGATTTCAAAATGAATTTTCATTTTTAGAACGATTCAATTTATTCACATGAAACACAACGACGATTTCCAACGAAATCGGTATTGCTCGAATGCCTGATCTCCTAGTCACAACTGACAAAACTTCCTCACATTTTCATTGACTGACACGTTTTGGTTTGTTTTGAATATTTTTTTTCTTTCGTTTGCTGTATAATTAATGTTTTCTACGAACAGTGTGTGATGTTTTATTGACTGTCATCGTGTTTTCTTCAATAAAGACGGCATAAGCTAGACAAAATGAAGATTTCAATCCAACCTTAACGAGTTCGATTCACAAGACAAAGGATAAAAATAATCTCTAGCCAAATAATCATGACGTCATAAGAACAAAAATATCGTGCGACGAAGAAATCTCTTTTCGAATAGGCGTACTACCGTAGAGAAGGAAAGGGAAGAAAAAGCGCACACAGGAACTTAATACCATTTCTTATTCATCGATACTTCTGTAAGAGAACAAGCAACATTAGCAAATAAGCACAAGTCATGTGTATTGTACGTATATGTTATTGCGTAGATTGATTTGGTTTTTCTCGGCAGCGATCCGGGAGTTCGAGTGGAGTTCAAAGAGAAAAATGATTATGTGCTTAAAACCGACCAAAATAAACATTATCTACTATTTTTGCTTTAGCCGGACATTTGCCCATGTTCTGACTCATTAGACATCTGTCTATGTTGTATTCCACTCGATTTACTTTGTTGCTGTTTACCTTGTTGTCGGCCACGGTAAAATCTTTTTCTCTTTTTCGGTCTATCCGGATATTGATCAAATTTCTGCTTCTTCTACTTCAGTGAAAGAGTTGTGTACGTACCTTCGGCACAACCCATGTATGCACCACCAGCACAAGGTTATCCCTATGTTATTAGAGAACCTATGGGACGTTATTGATTTATGAACAGAAGTTAAACAAAAAAAACAGAATGACTTTTCTTTATTCAAACGCTTTCGATTTTATTTGCTTTTTACGAAATAAATTTTATTCACAGTTTTGCAAATACAGTGGATATTGTTTTCATTGATAATAAAGTTCAATGCTCATGCCATCATGAATTTCTAAACGAACAAAACAAAGGAAATCGAATGAATGGCAAAAATAATCGATAACTTACCATAATCTGCAAGTGTAACATTGTCTTTGAAGATATTGTCTAAAAGCAAAAGAAAACGATCATTTAAATGTGGAAATAAATGATTTCTTGATACTTACACCACTTTTTAAGAACGATCTTTTCAGCCTTTGTGCCAGTTTGAGCAGCGATCAGTTTTTTCAGGTCCCCGACTGTGTCATCTGGATTGCATTTGACACGTACTTTTTTACCCAAACGATCGTTACAGATGATTTCAATCATACTTCTATCGATTAAGAAATCTGTCAAATGAATGACTAAATTTATTTAAGTAAAAGTGAAAATACGTTATTGCTTTGCATTGCATTATTCAGTTCTGCCTATCTATTGGTTTACCGCAATGCACCAATCGTCTATCAATGCGATTTAATCTGTTGTTTACATACTTTTTCGAAAAATATTTTCATTGAATGAAATCGAAAAACGTATTTTGATACTATTCTTTATTACGTATTAGATATAGTTCCCTTCTCTACATGACGCATATGTGTGCATTCATGTGTTTTGCAAGCAGCCATTCTAATCTTTCTTTTGTTTCTTATCTCTGACTGGTTAAATATAGTGTCGCGTTGAGTTTACTTGTTCGTTCTCTGCTATTACTATTTCTTTTCCTTCTTCTTCTTCTTCTTCTTCTTCTTCTTCTCCTCTGCTTATTCTTATTCTTCTTCGTCTTTTCTTCGCTCAGTTTGTGTGCGTCTCTCTGTCTCTCTCTCCACCTGAATCGACAACAGGGTCTGTTTCTGTGTGTGTCGTCGACCAGAAATAAGCTTCTATAGTTGCTGTTTCTGTTGCTCTTACTACTACTACTACTAGATTGCCATTGCGACAAACGACGACGAGAACGATCTTCTTCGTTTTGTTGCGTTTATATAACGCATGTCACTAACATACGCATGATAATCTGATATATTCTTCTTACTAACAATAATGATGACCCAACGTCCACCTCCTTTTATTTATTCAGTTTTATATAATCGATTAAATTTATCGTTATCTGGTTATTTTCTATTATCTGTATGAAATATAATAATACATTGTTCAACAAATTTCTCAATACTATTAATAACAATACAAACAATAACAGCAACAACAACAACAATAATAGCAACAACAACAACGCAAACAATCATATCACCGTTAATACCGACAGCAGCACAAAAGATAAACCTAGTGATATAAAGGTAGTGCCTCCACCAACATCGTCTATTACCAATATGGCTGCTGTTATAAATAATACACCAGTATCAAGTTCAATCGTGACATCCACTCGTTTTACTGATGAATATGATCTTAAAGAAGAGCTTGGCAAGTGAGTAATTTTCACATATTCATTCACACACACATATATATATATATATATTCTTTTCTTCTTCCCATTCGATTACCTCTTTGTCATTTGATTATTTCTTATATGTTTGATTAATGACATGAATAAATGTAAACAAATATTGACTATCTTTCGCTCTCTGACTTCCAATTCTACTTAACAAGCGACTAGTTTTATTACCGAACCTTTCTTCACTAGCAATACTGCGTTTTCTTCTGATTAATCGCGTTTGCATGCCGCAGATATTATTTTTCTCCTAATCTCTTCATCATCAACTTCGTCATTTTTCTCACACACACATGTACTCATTCGTATTCTGACCTCATCTTTTCACTCTAACTATTGTCTGCCTAGTCGAGATGAATGAAGAAGTCGATCATCAGAGAGCTTGTCGTTCAAAACTAAGACCAAACGCATATTATCATAATTGAGGGAACGGCAAGAGCAGGAAGGAAAAAAAGGAGAAAAGTCATTATTATCAAGTCCAACACTTGTCTTATTAGAATATCTCCCGTCAATTGCTTGAATATAGACAGCGACGAAATTTCTTTTTTTTTTCACAAGCCGAACTTCATCCATATAGAACGAGTAATGAAAGGGAACATTGCTAATAGTTGCTTTTATTCTTCTGATAGAATAAAAAAGTAGAAGAGAAAACGTTTCATTAATAATAGATAACAATCAATTACGCACCGGATTAATTCATCTCTTAATGATATTTTGCTTTTCTTTCATAGAGGTGCATTTTCAATCGTCCGACGATGTATTCAAAAAAGTACGACACAAGAATTTGCTGCAAAAATTATCAACACGAAAAAGTTATCAACACGAGGTACACGATAAGACATGAATAATCATCTTCAAGTCTTCTATCTTTTTTCTGTATATAGATCATCAAAAACTTGAACGAGAAGCTCGAATTTGTCGACAGTTAAAACATTCAAATATTGGTAAATGAATCATTTTCATTCCGGTGTTTTTATGGTTCCGCATTTCTATTTTATAGTTCGCCTTTATGACAGTATCGCTGAAGAAGGTTTTCACTATCTCGTTTTTGATCTGTAAGATTCATTGGATCGAGACCCATGAAAATGAAACTGTCCTATCTTTCTTCTAGAGTCACCGGTGGTGAACTATTCGAAGATATCGTTGCTAGAGAGTTTTACAGTGAAGCAGATGCCAGGTATGATTTACTTGGTTTTTCATTAACAAAGTTGATTTACATGTATCAAATTGATTTCAGTCACTGCATCCAACAGGTTCTTGAAGCCGTACGGCATTGCCATGAAAATAATATTGTACATAGAGATTTAAAAGTAAGAACAAGAAATGTTCACGATTGATTGTTTAACTGTGTTTTTTTTTAGCCTGAAAATCTTCTACTTGCCAGTAAAACAAAAGGAGCAGCTGTCAGTAAGTATCGCATCTTCGTCTTGTTGACAGATAAAGTCATGCATTCAATTGTAGAACTTGCAGATTTTGGTCTGGCAATTGAAGTCACTGGTGAACAAACACAATGGTATGGTATGTATCACAGACAGATCTCATTTTTCGCTCGAATAATTGCAAGAAAAACATATTTCTCTTTCGTGCCGTCTAGGTTTTGCTGGTACCCCAGGATACCTCAGTCCTGAAGTGCTCAAAAAAGAACCGTATGGCAAACCAGTAGATATTTGGGCTTGTGGTAAGTTCCAACACTTCCGACAAGAAGCATCTATCGTCACTTTTTCACAGGTGTTATTCTTTACATCCTTCTTGTCGGTTATCCGCCATTTTGGGATGAAGATCAACATCGACTATACAATCAAATTAAAGCAGGAGCTTATGATGTATGTGTTCTACTTTTATGATTATGTGGCGTGTGATTTCCCCGATGAATTCATTTAGTATCCATCACCTGAATGGGATACAGTGACGATAGAAGCCAAGCGTTTAATCGATTCAATGTTAAATATCAATCCTAGCAAACGTATTAGTGCTGCAGATGCCTTGAAACACCCATGGATTTACGTAAGTAATCAAATAAAGAGAACGAACGGATTAGTGGGGAAATGTCAGAACTCAACTATGTATACAAAACTTTTTTTTCTCTCAATCAGTTCTGTTTGCTGGTAGATAGTTTTTTCCTTTATGATCCGTTCACCGTTTTGTTTGCTCAATGTACGAGAAAATCTGAGTGAGAAAAAGAAAAAGAAAAGAATGGTGATGCCGCGAGGATGTTAATCGAACTGACTATATCATAGAATGGCAAATCTTTGTGATGATGATGTGTTCTTATAGTCATTCTTTCTCTCTTAAAATAACAATCGTAAAATTGGAATTTTAAATGTTAATTTCGAAAGAAAATGGAACTTTAGCATGTTCTTTCCTTTGCTTTTTAGCAACGTGAACGAGTCGCTGGTACGATCCATCGACAAGAAACGGTTGATTGTTTGCGTAAATTCAATGCACGTCGAAAATTAAAGGTAAGAAAGCAAGCGAGCTTGATATGATAAATAGAGAATAATGATGGATAAGAGGAGAAGGAGAAAAGCCTGGAAAAAACAATCTTGTATACATTTTGTTGTTATTTCCTTTTCTGTCGATATCATAGATTGAATAGGACGACAGATAGATTATACTCGTCGTTAGTAAGCTAACTAAACGATAGGGAAAATCATTTCGATAGAATATCTAATTGACAAGAAGAAGGAGGACAAGGAGAAGAGGCAGCAGAGTATGTTTTTTGTTGTATTCTGTTTAATTTGTTTTATTGTAAGTGAAAATTTCATCGAAGAGAGAAATAATTTCAATCTCCTATTCTTTAGGGAGCTATTCTATCAACAATGTTTGTTAATCGTACATTGATACCAAGTAAGTCAGCGTATTCATATTTTGCATGTACTGTTTCACAAGAGTGTTTTGCTTTTGATTATATCGGACAATGCTTTTCGTGTTCACCTATAAATATCTACATCGGAATGAATTGGCACCTAGTTTGGAGTTGCACAAGATGACTGTCTCTTAGAATAGGCACGATTCGTTGATTGGGAATCAATGCATACGATGACATTGATTATATCAAAATCGTCTAGTAGAGAAGTCCGACAGAGAGTTCTTTGCTTTTCCGTATTGACAAAAAAAATACAAGAAGTAGGATAATATGAAACTTCTTTCTCGTTGTGATAAAAGAAACAGTATTTGCTGTTATATATAAGTTTTCCTTGCTCGCTTGTTTGCCTTTTTGCTGTTCTCACTGCTGTCGCTATATTTGTTGTCATTATTTCTGTGCAATCGCCTTTTTATCCCATTTCTTGTCCTATCTTTTTTTTCTCATCTTGTTCTGTTCTATCCTTGCAACTACACAGATCTCCCTTTAATTTGGCTATGTGGGTGTGCTCGTTCTTCCAACGCACATAGAAAAGCATAAATGATTTTGATGTGCACATATGTATGAAAACCAGATGCACGAGTAGATTAATTACGAACACTACACGTCGATGGGTCAATTTCTAGATTCAGCGGTATTTGCTGGAACCTCAGCAGCAACCAATGGAAAAAAGTCAACAGTGCCAACGACCGGCAGTGGAACATCCCCGGTTACAACTTCTGCTTTAGCGTCAGTTTTTGCTATTGGAGGTACGCGCGAATCTATCGAATTCCATATCAACGAGAAAGTCTTGTTAGTCGATGATTCTTTTAAGGATTGAGATAGTTCTATTGACTTAACTTTCCTTTTCTTTCTCTGTCCGATATAATTGTATTTGCGCAATATGCTTTAACATCTTCTATTTGCTTGCAACAAACAATGAGCTCGTCGAGTTTTTCCTTTCCTAACTTTTGTCTATTTGCAGGTAATCGTCGACCGACAACACAAAGTGATAATAGTGCGATCAAAGAATCTGCAGATAGTAATAGTGCAACAATCGATGATGCTAATGATCTCGAACGAGTTGATCGAATAAGTAAGATAAAGATTTGATTCATAGTTTCACCTTGAGCATATTGATACAAACGAGTTTTAATGAACGAATCAAACATTTCGATATATTGAAAACTTTTTACAGGTGGAAAAAAACCTTTTCCATCTTCGACAAAACCGTCCATGTTAACTTTGACTTCACAAGCAACGAAAGTAACGAATTTAAGTAAGATATCTACTACATAATCAACACGCAATCAAATGCATCTATTCTCTATTTGATTAATTTCTAACTGATAATACTCGGGAAAGGATCTTCGCATTTAGATATCTATTCTAGACTTTCAAAAGAATCTATATGCTTTTCTTTCTCTTCTTTAGATTCGGAGATCACTAAAGTAACCGAACAATTATTACAAGCTATTGCTAACAGTGACTATGATATGTATAAGTACGTAAACGGAGGACTTTCACGAAACGATAGGAAACAACGAATTGTTTTCCATGTAGAACATTATGTGATCCAAAAATCACATGTTTTGAACCGGAAACCATTGGCAATCTTGTGGAAGGATTGGATTTTCATAAATTCTATTTTGATACAGGTAAGAGAATGCATTCTCTTGTGAATGAGAACTTCATTTACGATGTTAACGATGTTTGAGCTTGATGTAGAGAAGCAATGCTTTTCAAAGATTTGTCAGACGTCAGTATCTCATCAGAATAACAAATAATAGCATATTGACCTTGAAACATCGTATCGGAATGTTTTTTTTTATGTCTGATAAGTTAATTTATTCTTGTTTATGACTCGCCGACGGCAATCGGGAATAATTAAGACCTGATTCAGGCCGTGTTCTCTGGATTATTTCGATAGTTTATCATTAAATTCGTTGATGATAATCAAACTAAAAAATGATCTTATCGAAAACAAACATAGCACAGCTTCGAAGTCTTGTTATCTCCTTTCGATTAGATCTTTGTTCTTTGATTCTATTTTGTAACTAAATCTTGAAATTGTTTCAGCGCGATTTACTCGCTCCGATACAGGTAACCATTGCCGTTCTGTTCGTGTACTTTGTGTAGTGTTGTTCGTGTTTACGTGATTGACTTGTTCTTGAACATTTCCTCATCGGATCGTTTCGTTCTAGTTTTATCAACTAAACCGAACAAACCAACAATTAACTGTACGATGCTAACGCCAGTTGTTCATGCATTAGGCGATGATTCAGCTTGTATTGCATACGTTCTTCTTCTACAATTTCTCGACCGGTAAGAACTCGAATTGACGGACTTTTTTCGTCAATGGATTGCTTGATTGTGATGAATTTTAGTAATGGCCAACCGCAAAGCGTGCGAACAGAAGAAACTCGTGTATGGCATAAGAAAGACTCACGTTGGTTATGTGTGCATTTTCATCGTTCGGGTATGCCTGTTGCCACGGCTATCAAAGCTTCTTTTCAACCGACGTCAATGTAATTTTCTTTTACAATCATAATTTGTTCACGAGTTTTCATATCCATGCACTTGCTCTTTCTAAATTCCCCTTCTTTCGAGTATTCATTCCTTTTTTTTCGCACTTTCCTCTCTCGCTCTTTATGTTGTTTGAATGTTTTTCTCTCACTCTCTTCATTTCTTTTGCCTTCAATGAATCATACATTTTTTGATTACCTGCGTACCTCGTATACTTTTACGTGCCTCTACGACACTATGGATTTATCATTTGTGAAAAAAAAATGTATTTATTCTATTTATTTTGTGTTTTCTCATTCGTTCATGTCTTCTTTTGATTAAGGCGAAACAAAATGTCTACGATTAGCTTCTTCTTCTTCTCCTAACAAAAATACAAACAAATCTATCTCTCTTTTCATCATTTCGTGTTTATTGTTGTTGTTGTTGTTGCTCATCCTTTCTCCTATCATTTTCTGGCTCTCGCTGACGTTTTGTGAAAGGAATCAATTGCAAAACGTAGATTTTCTTCTCTTTTTCTTTGACTGACTTGTCCTTTTCTTCTTTTGGATCGGTGATGATAATCAGAAGTTTTTCTTCTATTCAAAATGACAACCAATAAAATAATTAATAATAAGTTTTGCATATTTGATAAGAATAATAATTAAGCCTCATATTTGACGAGCCTATTCGATTACTTATGTATCTGATGTGAATTAAAGTTTCGACATCGAATGCAAATCGTGAGAACATACATTTCTGATTACGTTAATGCTAGAAGAAACATCAAATATTCACTTGAGAGTAGATTGGACTAGAGCGACATCTATACGAACAAAATGCAGATTTTCGACGCATTTATCTTTCGAAGAAATTGTGTTTGAATTCTAATTTAGATTAAATTTCGTTCTGTTATATATCCTCATGGATGTCGGTTACTAGGCAATCAACTGGCCATATTAATATATATATAAGTTGATTATCAACACGAAGAGAAAAAAGAGGAGTTGTCGTTGTCGATCGACATTGTGTTTCCAAGAGACTGAGGTACCTATGGCGACCTTGCTTGCCACAAACTCGCATTTTGCACCCTTATTCATTTATTCTCTCATCTTGTCTTCAGAGATATGTTCAAAAATACTTTTCAAAGTGGTTTCCTGTCGATTCTCTACAGTATCGGTAGTAAGCCATTGCAAATCTGGGACAAAAAGGTATGTCAACTATGTTCAAACAGCGAAATCTCATCAATTTCTCTAGGTGCGAAATGGACATATCAAACGAATCACAGACAATGAAATTCAGTCTCTTGTCCTGGAAATAGTCGGTACTAATGTGAGCACAACATACATCACATGTCCAGCTGATCCGAAGAAAACGCTCGGCATCAAACTTCCGTTTCTTGTGATGATTATCAAAAATTTAAAGAAGTATTTTACGTTCGAAGTTCAAGTAAGACGAACCTTTCGATCTGCATCGATCAATACACTATAATTTACCAGGTTCTCGATGATCGCAATGTTCGTCGACGTTTTCGTGCTAGTAACTATCAATCGACGACACGTGTCAAACCGTTTATTTGTACAATGCCGATGCGTTTGGATGACGGATGGAATCAAATTCAATTTAACTTATCTGATTTTACACGACGTGCCTACGGTACGAATTACATCGAAACGTTAAGAGTTCAAGTATGTTGAAAGCGTTCTTTTTTGAAATACGAAGACAGACGCGTTCGAAAATCATTTCATAGATTCATGCAAATTGTCGAATTCGACGTGTTTACTTTTCTGATCGACTCTATTCGGAAGATGAATTGCCGCCGGAATTTAAATTATATTTACCGGTAAGATTTTCTTTGCAAATCATCGATTTTCTCTTGAATTCAAATCTTCTTCTAGGTTCAAAAGAAATAATCGAATTCATGATATACTTTTTCTCTTCTTCGTTCTATTTTCTTTTCTCTCTTTTTTTCAAATATAACAAACAATAAACAGCATGATTCTTCACCAACCGACAGCTGTGTATATTTGTGATTCTTTCTTGTCTTCTATACAATGAATGTCAACTTTTGTTCGTTTTCTCACGCATCTTTCATTCTTTGACCATCAGTGAAAAAACGCCAAATATATATGTATACTCTTTTACTTTGTAATAGATTGTATCGAATATTATTCAACTCACTTTCCCATGGAAAAAAAACAAATGAATGATTCATTTGACGTTGCCGATCGTTGATATTCCAGCGTTTTGTTCGATGACTTCTTACGTTGATCATGTTTGACGAATTCTAACATGATTATGCCCTGCGAGAAGATACAAGTACTTTCTCTTTCTTCACGCCTGATGTCGTAGACAAGTAATTGATCAATTATAATTTATAAACGCGAATACATCGGAGAATTCTCTGACAAGTCACACCCTCGTTTTCGTATCGTGAGCAGATAATTACTCCTTAAAATAAACATATTTCTCGCGAGATATCATGCACCATTGAATTTTCGCACGTAAAATCCATGGTCCGCTGGATTTAGGATGAATATCGAGCTCGAAAAAGATAGATAGAGTGTTTCTGCAAATATATCTATTCATTGAGTGAATTCTTTTAAATAGAAATCCCAAACAAATGGCAAGAAAAATAGTGTATGTGTGTGACAATAGTAAAACAACAACGAAAAGTGGTGGGAAGTAGATAAATGAGATGACAGATCTGTAAGTAAATTTGTTTCTCTTTTGATTTGAAATCAATCGCTTCAAAATGAAACATCTAATGGAAAACAGTTCACAACATCAAAAAGAAATCAAAACCAAGGCCTTGTTGTTATTATTCAATCAACTTGTTTTTAATGGCAATGCTCGTTATAATCGATAACGGTCGAGCGGCGCCAACCGAATAAGAAATGACCTAAGCCAGCGCCGAGGATAACCGCAAGGAATAGATAAACATTGAATGTCATTGCTATCAACATTAGTAGATAACTGATACCCATTTGAAGAATATGCAACAAGGTTTGAATGATATGGTAAGTACTCAAAAGTCGAGCGCTGAAAATATAAGAGAAAGGGATGAAAGTAAAGTTCGATTCGATAAAAATTCAGTATGACTAATCAAATAGTGCTCACCGTTTAGTACGGTTATCTGATGTTCTAACTCGTGGTAGTAAATCATTATTGTTAGAACGATCATTCTGTTGATCATGTTGGCGTACACTAGAGTGAGAATCATAGCAATCATCAAGAAAAGAACAAACAATCAATGATAGCTAGAGAAATGCTAAAGCACACTTTCGATGAACTAAACAAGACTTACAGTGGTGATTGACGATTATCTTCATCGAGAGGATGCCGAAGTATTTCACGTTTGGCTAGATGATCTCGTACGGTTTTTAATCCTTCGTAGAGCACCGCAACAAAAAATATTACAAACCAAGATCCGACAAAGGCTGCAAAGAAAGTAGATTAAGTATGGTTTTCTTTCATTTTATTATAAGATCAGTTACCAGTAACTGATTTCGTGTTCCACTGATCGAATAGGATTTGTTCCGTATAGCCACCATGAAAGGTCATCTGTGGAAAAGAAGCGAGAAGACATGAACATACGATTGTGAATATTCCGAACGTAGTATTTCGCCGAGTTGGCTTGTTTGATTAACAAAAATCGATAGAAAGTGAGTCAACAACTCGTTTTCCTGCTCTTATCTTTCATAAATTGAATATTTAGATAAGTTTTATGGCTTCAAAACCTTCCCTCTTGCTGCGAAGGACATTATTATTTACTAATCAGTCAAACATACGAAAAGAATAGAAGAAGTCGTTGATTTCCTGACAATTTCTATTAAAAACTATTTAGTACGCAGAACAACACATTCTTTGTTCGCTAACAACAATGCCTACTCTATTCAACTAGAACTGTTTAAATCAAATACTCACTGCCATCATCATCATATCTTTCGTATGTGAACCATGGCCACTATGACCCGATGGTGAATTGATTTTTGCCGGCATGATATGATTAGCATGATTCATAGTCATCATCGTTGTTGTTGTTGTAATGGACATGTCTACATGATTGTGGTGAGCATGATGATCATGAGACATTTTGAATTCTAGAAATATAGAAAAAAGTATATCGTATGATGATTGAATTAATAGATTCGTTTCGGCATGAGAGAAAAACGATTACTTGTTCTTCACTCAGTTAATCGTTAAACAAATCATAGAAATTGAAATCAGAGAAGGACGTAACGATGTAGAACACGAGATTCGTGCTTGAAGGAATGAGAAAAGCAATAAAGCTGTATGCAGCGAAAGATTTTTCGCGAATCTAGCATGAAACATTACATCTGACTTTATCGAGAGAGAATCGTCAAGTATTTTTTCATAAGACATTCAAATATGCATCTTATGTCATGAAAATGCCAGAATCGATGCAAAAGAATGGTTTGCATGGTAGAATCAGGATGTTAGAAGAATGAACCAATCGTTCGCTCGTAGACGAGGGCGCCTTCCGTTGGTACTGAGCAAAATGTCTATCGCAATAGTCCAAAGTAGAAACTTGTCGATTGTAGCATTTTCATCTGACATTATGCAAAAGTATTTGTACACGAGACCTTGTATAATTTAACCTGTAAAGAAGAGTATAAATAACCGTATACGTTGCAATAGTAACAATAATTAGTTGTCACACTTGATTGCCTCACTATCACAATAATAAAGTGGATACTAGTCCACATGATTCATGACGTACGCCGAGTGAAAGATTGAAATGAAAAGTGTCGACTATGAAATTTGTGCTTTTGTCAATGTGTTAATTTCATTGTTGAACTAGTGATATGATCTACTAAAAAATTGACTCTCTTTCAGAATGAAATAGTACCTATTGTTTGTTGTCGAGAAAACGTGACAATGATCAAGTTTAAATTGAACATAAGAATCACTTCAACTGCGAAAAAAAAGTTGCTTTTTTCTTTTCAAAATTTTGTCCTGACATTGCAAAGAATAGTGTTCTTCTTCTTCTTCTTCGTCTTCAAAATTTCGCAGTAGAAAACGTTCATTAATTCTTTTTCTATGGGAAAACCTACATTAATCAACCAAATTCATTTCTCTTCTCTGGTAAGAACAATCAATCCTCCAGAGATAACATATTGAATCGGTCCTATTCTACTCTCATCGAAGATTTTCCAAGGACTTGAGTATTCTTGTTTGTTTACTGCTCGACAAACATCGCCGTTTTGAAACTTTTCCATATTGTCTGAAATTGAGAATTATTTTTCTTTGAAAACTAAATCTCGTTTCTCAAAATCAGACACAGTTTAATTGTCCGTAGTAAAAACAATGTTTTATTCATGTACGATAAAAGTCTTTTTTTTCCATTTGCTTTTTTTTTTCCTTTATTTAATTCAATAAAACAAATAAAAAATTTATCATACCATACGACACATCGTTAAGTGTCGTCATTAGCGGAAGTGCCCATAATAGGAAACATGAAAAGTAAAGAGGAAAAAACGGTAGGCCTCTTGTGACAAGAACCATTTCCATCCAAATCAATTTTCTTTTTCCTAAGACAAGAAAAATATTACGGCAGCCGAATGAGACGGAAAAGAGAAGGAAAAGGTAGAATCTAGATGCTGGGCACATATATAAGTGAAGAGAAAAGAGCTCTCTTCTTTTTTTTATTTTTTAGTATTCACTTGAATTGAAAGAAGAAGGAAATATGTTAGCATATCACGATGCATCGGCTGCATTCAGCGGAATTCGTTCGGATAATCGTTCGTCGTATGACAAATACGGTCGGTATATAAATAATGGTCAGCAACACGAGCTTGATGAGTTAGAAGCATCGAAAACTCGGCAATGTTTAAAAAAAACAACCAAATTTCTCTTCTCACACATCGGTTTAGTGGGCTTAGTAGTGGTCTACGCCGTCGCTGGTGGATTTCTCTTTCAACTACTAGAAGAACGTCAAGAAAAATACAATTGTCTCGAAGCTTATGGTGAACAAGTTGTTAAAATAACGAAACTTAAACAACAAATCGTCAGTTACATTCAACACAATACGACGGCAACAACAGGTTCGACAAGTGGAAAAGATAATGCTACAGTTGCACTGGTGAAGATTAGCACAATGTTGTACACATATCGAGACTTCGTGATCTCAACAACTACGAAATATCGTTACTATGGTGATGATTGTTTATCAACAAACAAATGGACGTATGCGAACTCGTTACTGTTCGCCATTACAATCATAACAACAATTGGTTACGGAAATATAACGTAAGTCAAATCATGAGAAAACCCAGGAGATAAATTAAAAAGTTTTCTTGTCTTTTTCTAGACCGACAACATGTAAGTTGTATAGAAATTGGAAATAGCTGTAGAGAGATTCTATTTAGGGGAGGGGCAATTGTGCTGTATCTGCTACGCAACAATAGGTATTCCAATCTTTCTCTTGTGTGTGGCAAATATAAGCGGTGTTCTCGGTGAGATGTTTCGTTTTATTTATGCGAAGATCATTTGCGCTCCGTGCAAGTTAATGAAACGACGGAGTGCTGTGACACGTAAAGCGAAAGCAGAAGAAGAAAACGGTGTAGGTGCGAATCCTACCTCATGGCCAGCTCAAGATGATAATAAGAAAAATTCAGTGAAACGGCCAATGAATAACATGGGTGATGATGACGATTTCGTTGAAGATGAACAGCAATCGAATCAACGTGTTGCTGTACCATTAACTGTAACAATGATTATCATTGCTGCCTACATTTGGATTGGTTCCGCCTTGTTTCATAATTTCGAGGGATGGTCAATGATACAAGCTGGATACTTTTGTTTTATTACATTATGTAAGGCATTTGAGTAAATATCTAAAGCTAACAAAATCATTTCTTTTTTTTTTCTTTTCTAGCAACTATTGGTTTTGGTGATTTTGTAAGTCAAAGCAAACTTTGAATGTCAATGTTTTTCGAATATGAGCTTCTTTAGGTTCCTGGTCAACGGAAAGATGATCCGAATGCCGGTGCGAAACTTATCCTTGGAGCTATTTACGTCCTGTTCGGTATGGCTATTTTAGCCATGTGTTTCGATTTGATGCAAGAAGAAATCGTGGCCAAATTCCGTTGGATTGGGACAAAAGTTGGTATCATCGAGAAAGAAGACGAGATGAATACCCAAATAGATCATCTGTCAGAAACGAAAAATAAACGAAATTCCACCGTGTCTGTAGCAAACAGTGATCGTCAAACGGGAATGATGAGAAAACATACAACAATCGATGACAATGACTTGTCACGAGATCGTAGCTCGAGCTCGGCACGAAAAACAAGCCCGAGAAATAATAACGCCCGTGTTCACCCATTGGACGACAATGCTGCGAACGAGGGCACCCTTCATCAACGTATCGCTCCTTCAAAATCAAACTGAGCTTAGTCAAACGTCAGCATATTTAATAAACAATCATTCACAGAACATTTCGCATATTTATTTCAGTCTCGCTTTCTCTTTGTGAACAGAATAACCTATTTTATTCCTTTTTAACAAATAAAGGTCGTTCTACTTTAACTACTGTATACCTTCGTTAATGGAGCGTCAAAATCACATACATGCAAACGATTTTCGAACTGACAAAAACTGATAGGTACCTTTGCTACCTAAAATATAACAGGTGCATTTTTTATTTGAAAAATATCAAAACACACAGTCACGATGACATGCTTATCGTCGTTACCTACTGTGAACTTGCTCGATCGACTGATACCGTTTATGCGATTTAGAAGATTCTCAATGCATAAAACACCAATTTCTAAGAACAGGGTGTTCCTTTGTTCACAAAATGTACTGCGTTCTTGAACGAATCACGATCGACGGAGCAATATATCTATCAATTGAATTGTATTACAGCTGAATGGACTAATTGATAATACATTGCATAATAGAGCACTAGTCATACTTTTCTCTACCGCGTAAGAGAACGCAAGTAATATTGCAGTCTACTAATGCTATTAGAGGGCATTTCGAACTTGAGCAATGTCCCAATCTATGTGCCATTTTAGAGCTTGCCATTCGATTGCGAATTACCAAAGGAAGTTTGTTATTCAGGAACAAGTCATTAATTCTATTTTCTTTTTCGTAAACATTCACGTTCACGGATTTATTACAACTATATATATATACATCGTGTGAGTCTACTACGACAAAAAAGATGAACAAAAGCTATATTTTTAATGAGAAGTGTTCAGTTAGCTTCTATTTCAGTCGAGAATCTCTTTGTTGATATACGTTGATGATGAACATTCGCTGGAGCATGAGATGCAATTGTATCATGTCGAAATTCATCAATCAATTCATAGAATGAATTAACGAACCATGGTGCACCCTCGCGTACTTTTTCTCGCATGATATTTCCACCAAAACCAATGAAACCATCAGCATTTGCTTCCATATCCGTAGCACCATCACCAATCATAATCAAGCGTTTGTAATTATACTTCTTCTTAAGATATTCTACGACTAGTCTTTTACCACCTGAATCAGAGGTCATTTCGTTTTCATCAAAGCCGGCATAGGTACCATCAGCATTGAACAGTAGCTTATTGGCAAATACATTTGTAACCGGAATATCCAGTTGTGTAGCAACAGGATCAACAATCGAATGAAAACCACCTGTGATTAGATAGACGGGAACTTGACGTTCGTGTAAGATGCTGATCAATTTACTAATTCCATCGGTTAACTCAGACGGATGATGAATAATAAAATCTTCTAAATTTGCGGTTGTTGGTCGAATAAGATTAAGACGAGCCTCCAATGCAGTGCGAAAACTCATGTTACCACCCATAGCATTACGTGTGATAGCTTCGACTAACGCACCGACTTTCTGAAACTTTGCCAACTCGTCAATAGCTTCGTCAGTGCAAACAGTTGAATCAACATCAAAACAGACACAATCAGCATTGAGCCATAGTTGACGTACTGATTGTTCGGTACTTAACGACTCGTCAGATGAGTTATTTTCGTTTAAATTGCCTTGCGTCATTATGTGACTGAATAAATTACGAAGTAAAACGAATATATCAATATCTACGTCCACCTTACCTGTTGTGTATTATCGGATAGTGCGTAACTGTATGAAAATGAGAAAGAGCAATGAAAATAAAACAAATATTCTTCTTGCAATTGTCAACATGCAGAACGGACGAAGAGAGAGCGAGAGAAAAGGAAAAGAATAGTGCGGTTATTTATGGACCAATCACTTTTTTATGATCATATGATGGTTGTTGTGTGCTAAGACATTGGATCATATTTTAAAGAAGACAAGAAAAAAGAAAACAAATTATGACCTTCATTTCACGGTCGTCAAGTTCTAGATGTTGCACTGACATGATCTATTATCAGTTTTTATTATCGGTCAAAGAATCGTTTTTCCTCTCGAATATTCACTTGATTCAAAACCAATCAACTAAAGAAAAACATCACATTCGATGCGTCAGTTTCTGTTCAATCAGCTGATTGATACGGCATATAGCCAGTGCACTCTGAACTGGAACAAAAGCATGGTTTAGAAAGTTTCTCGTCGACGATTGTACCATAACTGTAGGATAATTCTTCATTCGGTTGAATTTCCCGTCGAGTAAAAAATGCTAAACGTGGAGGTGTTGGTCGATCCACTCGAATCGGGATGATATGTAAGTTCGGGTCACAACTATGGTTGACAAAACGTGTCCAATTTCCGTAATGGCGTGCGTCAATAAATGTTTTTGTAATTGTTTGTAAATGATGTTCATTGTAAAGTAGTAAATAATTATGTTCGAACGTTTTTGTTAACTCAATTCGACGATGTGCTTCATGTTCTGAAAGAACTTCGCCGACGTATTCGCCAATATATGTTCCTGAACGAGGAATATGTTTATTAACTATAACACCGTAGCCTTTATTTGATGCTGAAATGATCGTCACGTTGTTTGATTGATCTTCTTGTTGACTAACACGGTTGTGACATGCTTCCAATGAACATTTGCATTCGGAATTACATTCGAATATCGGACTTGATTTGTTGGGATTTAAACAATGTGTGGAATCGTAATTGAGACCAAAGCGAGTTGCACATGAACAATTCAAACATGCATCTTCGATGGAGCAAGAACAACCTTCGTACTGTTCGTCATCTTCTTCATTAGTCGATTGAATCAAACAAGAATCGATATACTACATAGAAACGAATGAGAAATTTTTAATTTTGCTTTGTTTTATTTTTGAAAAAAGAATATCTTAACAGAAAGAAAAAGAACGTCTCCTACCACAAATGGTGTTTTATCGCTCAAAGTTGCTGCTGCTGTTATAGTTTGTTGCTCAATTGTAGTTATCATAACGATGGAATGGTAAATGATATAGCTGTCAGATCATTCGTTCGAATCAACGCTGTTGGCATAGAACCAATGGATGTTTGTAGATCTTGAACTAAGATTTGCGAGAAATTCGAATCTATACTAAGACAATGAGTGGCAGTTAGTGATGATTCACGATGAAAATCAAGTTCTATTGGCGAAATAGTTTTATTTTTTTGGAGATATTCAAGAACATTTAAGAAACGCGAGCGTAGTTCGGTACGTTTGTCTTGCTTAGAAGATGAGTTTTCTGGAGCTTGAGTCGTTAATGCATGACGATATGCAGCGAGACCGTCATCATCGTGATCAATATTTGACATCTACAATAAAAGATTATGGTTTTGTTAGGATCCGTGATCGTCCGAAGTTATTGAAGAATCGAAGAAGAAAAAAGGATTGAAATTCCTTATTGCTTTTCGATCAAAAAAAACAAAATAACAACTGATGTTCAGAAAAGAAAAAGAAAACAAGCAGAAGAAAAGAACGAAGGACCGTCCATCTATAGTCTTGTAGATGGCGATCCTGACAGGTTCACTTATTAGAAAATATTTATTGTCTTCTTTTTATTAGATTAAAACTAATTAGCAAAGAAATGAAACTTGAATTTTCTTATTTAGTATTGATTCATTGGTGGTTGCTGATTTCCTCCCAAAATCATACGTGAACATGCTTGCATATATTCATTGAAATCGAGAGCGCCTGACTGATTGATATCGAAGCGACGAAAAGTAGCTTCAGATTCGCGTTCAATATCCTGCCAAGTCATGTTAAGCAACGATGCGATGAAGAGTCTTCGAAAACTGTCACGATCAACGACACCATTTTGATTAGCGTAGTTGTTGAATTCGTACCGAAAACGTTCAATTTCGGGAAGTGGAATACCAGTGGCATTCGAAATAGTCATATTATTTGCTTGTATCGATGAATTTTGATTGTTGGGAAACATCGCTGATGGCGGCGATGCGAAATAATTCGGCATCTGAGTAGCATTTCCAAACGGTGACGACTGTTGCATTGGTTGCTGTGGCATATATTGAGGATATGGCTGCTGCATGTACTGCGGCGGCATTTGTTGTTGTTGTTGTTGTTGTACATATTGGGGTTGCTGCATGTATTGCACTGGTTGTTGCATATATTGAGCTGGCTGCTGTACATATTGAGGTTGAGGGGCAAACTGTGGTTGAGGTGCAAACTGTGGTTGTGGTTGCTGTTGATAGACGGGCTGTTGTTGAACAGCTGGACCTTGTTTTGGAGCTTTTGAAAACAACGCTTTTACACGTTGCACGAAACCACTCATGATTACTCTATCTCAGCGATAACTGTTTTATGTTGTGTACTACGATACAACCACGTGCTTACTGATCTATGTAGGGATGAGTCTTTTTCGTCTATATTCAGGATATATCATCCGTAACATAAAAACAGATTGACTCTCATACATGGTTCAAGGTTAAACCTGCTCCTATGAAGCATTAGTTTCTCGATTTATGCACATCGGATGCTATAGATCAATGACGATTGATACCGAAAAGATGCGTCGCTTTCTTTCGTCATTGATTGAAAAAATCTGCAACTTATCTTCAGCGTCACGCCACGAATGAATAATATCGTGATAAATGGTCACAATCTTCAACAAATAGTAAAATTCTATTTTGCGAACACATCAGTGGTGGCATCTATTATTAAATTTGAATATCTCAATAAGATCCTACTCATGTATCGATATCCTATAACTATGTATCTCACGAATTTTCATTCCACACCATAATTGATGAACTCTTGTGATGTTCAAAGCTATGATACTCGTCGTATAGATATCTTCGAATATCAGTGATATTTTGAAAAAGATGCGCTATTCTATAAATGAGAGGGAGGAGAAAGTAGTCCTCGTTTGTTCGAAATCAGTTTTCGACTGATAGATGGTCTTATCTGTAAGATTCTCTGTGGATATTCCCATCATTATAGTATGTACATCTGGGCAAAGACTTGACCTAAGTAGTTAAAATAGTATTTGGAAATGTCAGGAAGGATTCTTGCATACAATATTTGAAATAACCAGACACTAACACATCATTCTAAGATTAGTTTTCATCAAAATCTCATGAAATTAATGCTCCTGTAATTGATATGCGCATTTAAGCTAATGCAGTTGCGAGGAAATTTGCTTATCCAAAGCTGCACTCACCCTCTTTTTAATTCTTCAGTCTCTCGACAACGGTAAAAATTCAATTTCAGCTAAGTTCCCACGATAGATGTCATTAGTGAGGAGCATCTATACTATTGATAGGTTAAACGACAGGACTTTTCCGACCAAACATCGTACGGTCTATCTGTTCGCTCGTACTATATGGACTCATCGATTGACATAGTTCACATAAATCAATTTGACTAGGACACAGTCAAATTAATAAAAGAATCTTACTTATTTACTTCATTGTTGAGAAAATATTGTGCTTATTGAATCGTTTCACGCTTGCTTCGTCGTATTTTTAGAGGAAATATGAGCGATAGTGAAGAAGAAACGTCATTACGGAAAGACTATGTTGAGTCATCCACGTTTGACTCATTACCAGTGAAGAAATGGTTGAAAGATCAATGTCGTTTACTTGGTTTTGAACATCCGACACCCGTTCAACAAGCATGTATTCAGCCTATTCTTGAAGGTACATATCTCTCGTCGTCATCTTTCCACGAATAATTCTTATTTTCTCCATAGGCCAAGACATTTTAGCATGTGCTAAAACCGGCTCTGGTAAAACAGCAGCGTTCGCTTTACCTATCCTCGATGTACTCAGTGAAGATATCTATGGTATTTTCGCACTTGTTCTCACACCGACACGGTAAGTCTCATGTAGAAATAAACAACTATACCTATGACTATTCGTTTCATTAGAGAATTAGCATATCAAATTGCCGATCAATTCCGTGTTTTTGGTAAACCGCTTGGTTTGAAAGATTGTGTCATTACTGGTGGAATGGGTAAATGAATGAATCATATTTTAGTATCTCTAATGTAATTTCATAATCAATAGATATGATGATTCAAAATTCTTCTCTAACCGAAAGCCCACACATTGTTATTGCCACACCAGGTCGACTTGCTGATCATATTGAGAGTGGTACTGAATTTTCTTTGAGTAAGATTAAATTTCTTGTAAGAAAAGTTGTTTCCGAAGAAGACAGATTCTTACAATATTGGTACTTGCTTAGGTACTCGATGAAGCCGATCGTTTGCTAGAAGATAACTTTGGCAAACAATTGCAAACGATCTTTTCTATTCTACCAAAACAACGACAAACACTTCTCTTCAGTGCAACCATAACTGATACAATTAAACAAGTTCAATCCATATCCGAACGTAAACCATTTCTTTTCGATGGAAATCTCTTGTAAGAAAGTTTCGAATTTTCAATTGTCTTTGCTAAAGTCAATCGTTATTCATTAGACATCAACCAGCTGATAAATTGGATCAATATTATTTATTGGTGCCGGCTAATGTCAAGGATGCCTATCTCTTTCATCTACTATCATTATATCACGGTAGCAATGATGACGAGGAAGATGAGAAAGGAAGAAGTAAAACGAAGAAATACAGTAAATCAACGATAGTTTTTACCAATACATGTCGAGACTGTCAGATCCTCTCGATGATGTGTCGGAAATTTCACATGCCATCCGTAGAAATTCATTCGCTAATGAAACAACGACAACGCATAGCGTCATTGGCAAAATTTAAGTCACTTCAAGTTCCAATCTTGTTCGCTACCGATGTCGCATCACGGTAAACAACGAATTTCTGTTTGATGTTCTAATATTTCTTTCTGCAGAGGTCTGGACATTCCCAGTGTCGATCTAATTATTAATCACAACGTGCCATTTGTACCAAAAGAATATGTACATCGAGTAGGACGAACAGCTCGTGCAGGTAAGCTGATTTATGTTTGCATTATTTGATTTTCTCCATTACTTTTAACTCTTAGGACGTTGCGGTACTGCAATAACGCTTGTAACACAGTATGACGTGAAATTGATGCATAAAATCGAAGATCGTGTTGGTAAACAATTAAATGAATATCGCGTGAAAGAAAAAGACGTGCTAAAATTGCTGGTTGAAGTCTCCATGACTCGAAGTCAAGTGGAAATTCAACTTGATGAAGAAGATTTTGGCGAAGCAGAAAAGATCAACAAGCGAAAACACCGTTTACTTCAACAAGAACTTTTAGCTGAAAGCAGTTCAGCTATTATTGAAGGAAAATCGAAGAAAAAACGAAACAAATCTGAAAAATAAATGCTCATGTTTTCTCTTTTGTTTTCAGATATAAGAATAACAAGTTTAGCACAGAATGTTAAATAGTTATCCTGCATATAATCTACATCATGTATCATCAACTGCTAATCTACGTCGTAATAGTCTAAATTCAACGCTATCACTAACAAAATATCGTCGAAATTCGTTCTCACCTCCAACTCCATTGATTCTAGCGTCTCAACCAACATTTACCGCATTTCAAGATAATTCCTTCCCGTCAGCCTCAACAAAAACAACAACCAGCAATGACCATCAGATAAAAGTCACTCAATCAACAAGCAATTTCTTTCCTGAATCTAAAGATGATCCTAGTCTTTCATTTCTCGACGGTCTAGATCTGACAAATAATTTAATACCGTCGTCATCGTCATCGTCAACAATCACCACCACCGCCGCCACCACTCCAACAGTCGATGATAATCTATTTACTAATAAAAATATCCCTACACCACCCTTAGTTGTGCCGGCTTCGCCTTCAACATTTCAATGCGTGCGTATCATTCGCCGTAGCGACTCAACGCCTATCCCAACAAACCCAACTTCGAGTCAACGCCGTGTTGTTCGTGTCATTCGATTGAGTAACGCCTCACGTCCATTAGAACAATCAACGTCAAATGTCTATATCGTTCGAAAAACGGATGTCACTCCAACTGTTCACATTAATCCAGCCGTGCAACATGTCATTGCAAAAAGCAATACTGTGAACAATAATTCCGATGAAAATAATCAACCGAATAAATTTTACGGTTCGACAATATCCATATTTGGAATTGAGTTCACTGTCGTATCGAATGAAGCAAATGCAACCGACAAATGTGCATCACTTGTACAAAATATGAATGATACAACACCGAAACCAAATGTACAACCAGCAAACAAAGTATGAGTAGTGTTCAAGATAAAGACGAAACTATTCATTTGATCATTTTAGATTAATGATATTCATAAATTATTCTCTCGAATTTATCGTTGCGTTCTATGTGCAGCCGAATTCGATGTTTATGAGGATTTCGTTTCGCATGGTAGTGGACATTTACAAGATCTAACATTGAAACCACTTGAAACAGCATCTGTGTTTCGTCGACGATCGTATCGTTGTCTTTTACCACATTGCAATGCAAGAATCGAAAGGTAGGGAGATTCGACTTACGCTAAGCACTGACCTATTTTTCTTTCGCTCAGTGAAACCGAAAGTCCTCGTATTCTCGATCAATTATTTCGTCGACATCTTCTCAGTCATGTTGGCACACATCCATTTAAAGTAAAAATCACTCGGTCGGAAAGAACAAATAAGCATCTTTCGTTTTGTAGTGTCATATATGTAAAAGTAAATTTCAACGGATACAAAATTATCGTGTTCATTTGGCGTATCATGAAGAAATGAACAGTCCTTCTTTGCAGGTTTATTTCTTTTGAAAACTTCGTATATTTCTTCAGTAAAATTGATTTTTTAGTGTAAGAAATGTTTGAAAAAATTTACAGCTGATAAACAATACAATTTTCATATTCGCAAGTGTTTTGTCGTACCACCATCTTCACCGCAAACGACTGCCTCCTTTCGTTGCCATATTTGTGGTGAAAATTTCGAGAAAGACCAAAGTTTAAATCTACATATTAAACATATTCATTCGTCGCGTCCATCAACACCAAACGTCACGGCGATTCGCAGCGATAATGAGTAAGGTCATATGGTGTGAAAGACGGTAAACGTTTCCTCTCTGTTTCAGAGTTCGTGTTCGTTTGGTCTCACCACCAGTTGCTTCGACAAAACCCAAATCATTACCAAATACATCGAATACATGTCAAATTTGTTGTCAAGATTTTCCTAAACGTTTATTGTACAAAAAGCACATGCTAACGCATTTAGGTGATAAGCATTTTGCATGTACTTATCCAGTAAGTGATTGAACTTTGTGCGATTCATTCTAATGCTTCTGTACGATTAGGGATGTAAAGATACATTTTATTCTCAATCAAATCTTGATCGGCATGTTCGTACTGTACATTTACGCGGAAGTCAATCGTTTGTATGTACATTTCCCCATTGTGGAAAAACCTTTGCGAGAAATGATTCGCTGAGAAATCATCGAGTGAAACATTTTCCCAATATGATTATGAAATGTCCGTATGTTGGTAAGTGTTGCTCATTTTTCATTCCAAGAAGACTAGCCAATCTTCTGTTAAGATTGTGAAGAAAAATTTCGCGTACGTTCAACGTATCATGCACACGTCAAACGACATCGAACGGAGAAACAACAAGCATCAACTATATACGTGTGCGTACTACAAAATTGTCAGTATACAACGTCGAATAAAGCAAGCATGAAGCAACATCTAACAAAAGTACATGATTATAAACAAGAAAAAGGTAATTCTTTGCAATCAATTGCAAAGCTCTGGTGCATTTCTACAATTTTTAAAATTAGATGAAGATATACCTTACATTCAATATCCGTCTAAGCAACAGCAACAAACACAAGTGCCACCACAGCCAACGCCGCCACAGCAACAGCAAATTCTCATCGACGAACCTTCGACATCGAGTGTTGTCGAAGTTTTAGCTCCGATTGTAGTCAAATTGCCCGGTGATGAACCTCCTCCTCCGCCACAGCTTGCAGTACCGACACCTCAACCTATAGTTCCTCGTAAGTATTCAACAATCGATTTCGATTTAGTAAAATCTTTTTTCATTCAGCTCCACCACCACCACCACCACTGAACGATCCATTCGATATCTTTTGTATGCTTCCCGATGTTCCACTTGGTGATCTCGATTGGCTCAATATTGAATCTGAAGAAAACATTCGGCCACGAAAACGTCAGAACATCATTACTATTAGCCGTATGTTTAACTAAGACGCTCTTTCACCGATGACTTAGTTTGCATGATTTAGGTGATATGGAGAGTTTATCTACGGTCGTCGTCGAAAATCTAAGTGGTTGTGCACGAACGGACTATCGTAGTAATCATGCTTTACTTGAACGTGCTAAATTTCGACGCAAACTATTGAATTACAAGCGAGGTAAATAACAACTTGTCCATTGTCTTGTGAGACTAATATCTGAATTGTTTGTTTGTATTGCTTAGAACTCTTACGCGTTGATTCACAACCAGTTTCGACATCAACAAGACGCTTGTCCAGTCAGTTATCTGATGATAACGATGATGAAGATGAAGATGATATTCTTGAAACTACAACATGTGAGACGAGCCCGAAACGGATAAAACGCTATGTTGATATTAATGAAAATTAAATAAATCCTTTTTCTCTTTCTTTCTCCTCTTTTCCCGTCCGTTTCCTCTTCCACAAGTAAATAAGAAAAAAATAATCAGTTTTTCTCTTGATGACACTTTCAAACGATGGAATTCAACTCGAATGTGTATGTACGTGTTTTGTATGTATAATCTTCATTCTACTCTCTGTCTTTCGCACGTCTTCAGTTCTTCGATACCAAGTGTTTCACAGACACGTTCCTTCTCTCTTTTGAATTCTTATTATTGTTTAGTTTTACGTGTGTGTATGTATAAAATTCGCTCTGTTATGTTTGCTTTTGTCCGCGCTACGTGTAGTTCACTAAAAAGAAAAAAAAACACGATTCTGTCTCTTTTACATATGATTACAAGAAAACAAACAATATACAGAAAGAAAAGAAGAAAAAAAAATCTTATTTATTAAATCCTATCCGCCGTGCTGACTTGCCTGGGAATCATATAAGATAAAACAGAAAGAAAGACGACTATATAATAACGAGATTGTGTGCTACAGAATAGATTATATTTTTTTCTTATCAGCCGTTTTATTCACTATTCTGTTATAGATAATTTTTCATTCTTGGGTCGTATTCAATGGCTAATTCATCGAAAAATATGGAACAACATCACATCGAATCGAGTCCATTGGTCATTGAAGATTCATTCGAAGGATATCCATTGAATTATTTTAAGTAATTCTTCTGATATTCTATTTGATCGAATGAATATCCGTTCGTTCTAGTTTGCCATTACATTATCGTGATGATTTGAAATCTGTTCTTATTCCATATGGTCTCGTTCAAGATCGTATCGAAGCATTAGCTAGTCGAATTTTCTCGGATTTACATATTCATATTCCCGAGCAACTAAGTAACGACTAGACTTCAGATCTCATTCGAAGATTATTTCTCTTCGGTTTAGTCTGTATGTGTGTACTCAAAGGTGGCTATCGCTTCTTTTCGGATTTGGTTTCGAAAATTCAAAATGAAAATCGGTACGGAGGAAGATCTTTTGTTGTCGGAGTTGTCTTATCAAACATATTTTAGTCTTCGCAATGATCGTAGTTTACCGATGAGTTTAGAATTCATCCGTGTGCGAAGTTATGTTAACGATCGTTCTACTGAAGCCATTGATATCATTGGTATCAGTGATTTAAGCTCGTTGAATAATAAGCATTTGTTGATCATCGAAGATATTATTGACACAGGTGTGACGATGGTTGCGTTAAAGAAGGAATTGGAAAAGTATAATCCCAAGACGATCCATGTTGTTTCATTATTTACCAAACGACGTACAGATAAGAAATGTATTTTCAAACCGGATTATTCAGGTTTCGAAGTACCTGATCATTTTATTGTTGGCTATGCGTTGGTAAGACGATTAGTTTGTGTCTTGTAAAGCAAAATTATGAAGATTTGACTTTACATTACAGGATTACAACGAATACTTTCGGGATTTGGAGCACATATGCGTGATGAAAGAATCGGGCATTACGAAATACAAAGTTCAAGATGGTGATAAAGTCGAATAAACCGCCTCAAACCAGTCACAGTCCTACAAACCAAACGTCTTTTTTCATGTGTGCCTCTGTGTGATCTACTTTTTCTTACTGACAGTTCTGTAGTTAAGATCTTGATTGGCTTTTCCGTTATGCAGTTAGATTCTGTAGCTGAAAAAAGGAAATATGATTTTATCAGCCGAAAGAAAGCTGGTTTATAGGAAATAGGATATGTGTCTCATGGAGATACTAGTGCAATAGATTGCTAAACTATTCAATCTTTCTTTGGGACGAAGATTTTTGCATATCAATAGTGTCCTAGGACGAAGCCTGGATTTGGTTTCTGTAGTCTCGATGTTTTTTATTTATGAAATGCATCTCACATTGCTATAATTAATCGAACGAATATGAGACATGAAAATAGTACCGGTTTCTTTTGTTTGTAAACATCAATTTGTTCGGTAGTTGAGAGAGACTCGATATGTTTTTTATATGAATGAGTGCAGATGCACTGAGGAATTGAAATGACTTCTGACGTTTTATTTATGAAGAAGTTGTAGAAAAACATTAATTTGCATGAATTTATTCATGTGACTATCGTTGGATTTTTTTCAAAGTAATGAAATCGGATGTGAAGTGTATTGTATGTATGCGCGCACGCCCTCTATCGTTCTCCTGTCACTAGGCGACCTTATGGCAAATGAATCAAATTATGGGAGTTTATTGATATTCATTATTAGTTCTTCCTTACTCAGATACATTTCTCTCAGTAATTTGCAATGACTTATCGAGATATTAGCCGTAAGTAACCTGATTCGAATTGATTGCTCTTCGCAGAAAATGATTTCACATAAAATTCTTAGATCTTTGTGAGATGGCTCGCGTTCTCTCCTATCCGCGGTTGATATCAATGGAAAATTTTCGTCAACCAAATTTTCCGCTCGTAGCAGAATTGATGGCTTGGCTTTGTAAACAGTATACTCCTCATTTGAACGGTCCATGACCAATCCCATCATTTTCGCCTTCCATTTAGATACGATCCACTGGCAGACGTTTCAACTAGTATCGAACGTGAGCAAGATCGTGTAATATTTATTCGTACCGTTGCTCAAATAATTGTAAGCTATATGGATTGAAAATAGACTTAGGGTTCTAAGAGATTTTTCTTTGTCACACAGGCAACAAAAGCACATTTGAAGTTGAACACAAAAAAACTCTACCAAGCAGATGGATATGCTGTCAAAGAGATTCTCAAAGTTATAACACCTCTTTATCAATCGTTGCGTGAGAGTGAAAGTAAAGAATTGGAAGATGAAGATGACGTCGATCAGCAATACCGTTACGCTATGAGTGACGACGTAAGACTTAGCTGAACGAACTCTTGAGATTCGGTGAAACACCTTTCGTTGTTTTACTTTCCAGATCGGAATATTAAAAAATGCACGGCAACTGTGTTCAACTATCACACAAAAAGGTGCCAATCTGCATGAATTACTCGGAAAAGAGATTGACGCACGGGTAAGAGAAAACGGAAAATCGATGTCGAATGTGAAAAATTCGATTTCTAGGAAGCACGTTTGGAAGTAATGAATCGAGGGATGGAATTATCGGAAGTTCATGAAGGCATTCGTGAGGCAGAAAATGCTTCGAAAGTATGTCGAAGAAAGAAGAAGAGATTTTTGAATGCAAAGTTCCTTCTGATTACAGCGTGAATCGAATAAATTCACAAAATTAATTGAAAATGTTCAAACGGACGAAGTGGCATTGGATGAAAAGATTGCGAAACGAATGGAAGAAAAAGATCGGCACCAACGTCGACTCGATATGTTGAAGAGTGTTAGGTAAACGACAGACGAACTAGTTTCTCACTTTTGACTATCGTTTCTGAATTTAGACCATCATTTATGAATGATTTCGAGAAATTTGAAACAGAGCTTAATGAATTATACTCGAACTATGTTCTTAAATTTCGTATACTATCCTATTTGGAAAAGGAACTGGAAGGACATTTCCGAAATCAACGGGAAAAAGTTCAGGTAAAGCTTGATCTACTTGAATATCGTCAGACGTCGTTCTTTGTAGGAAGTTTCTCGTCAATACATGCAAGCAATGAACTCGCAATTGACAGAGCAGGATCAACAGAGATTTAATAGGCAATTACAAGATCCTAATGACGAAATTGGTGTGCGTAGTGATGAAGAAGAAGACGAAGAAGATTCCGATGATGACGACGATGATGATGAGTGAGTTATTCCAGTGTAAGTATCAGGTGTCAGTGTTTCCTTGTCTTAGTGACAACGATTCGGAAGAAGGTGAAGCCATGAGCCGACGACCACCTCCTCGAGGAAATCGAATGGGTATGTAGTTTTTTTCCTCGCACTGAAATTTACTCTGTATGGTTACGATTATATGTTTTTTGTAGAAAATGGAACAAAAGGTCAACCTTATGGCGGCATGACCGCTGATCTTAGTGACGATGAAGATGAAAGAGGCAGAGGTAACGGACGGATGGGTGGTGGTGACGACGACGATGACGACGACGAAGAAGTTGAGATGGGTATGGATTCAAGACGAAGAGGTGGCGGAAACATTGGCCGTCGACCGCCGAGCGCCAGCGGTCAACGGAGACCGAGACCAGTCCCGCAGCAACGAGGAACGTATAACAATGATGATGAAGACTTTTAATTCAAGGAATTTTTTCTTTTCAATGCAATTCTTGTATTCTCTATTATTCGACTTGAATAGAGAAACAAAACACAGTTGTACGATTCACCTTCTTATAATTACTCGTAAAAACCTCTTTAAAATGTGTTATTGATGTTGTTATTATTAATAATTGTTCATACATATATATTTCTTTTCAATAAACGATATCAGCATTCAATGAGTAAATCAGCAGTCGCACATTTAGTTCATCGAAAAGTATTATCGATGAACACTTGAACTTATCTGCTCGAAAAATTCATTTTCGCTCCGCGTAATCGATTACAAATTACACATAATAGAGGAGTTGCCATCGTTTCACTGTGAATTATGTCACTAAGGTGACTGTGTTGTTATTATTATTCTCTTTTGTCTCGCTCGTTAGAAATCTTTCTCTTTCTTTTACATAGTAAGTAATGGCTGGTCGATTAGCATCCGAAGATTCCGACGAGGAATTTCAAGAAAGTCAACATGCTAAATTACAAAATAGTTATCGACACGCACGCGAAGACCAACGTGAATATACGATCGAGAAGAAGGATCAACTACGCACGCAAAAGTAAGAGAAATCGATCATTTCCAATTAGTGGAAGCCATTTATTCTTTTTCGTGTAGTAAAACTTTGCAACAATTAACAAGAGAACGCGATGAATTGGACAAAGTTTATAAATTAGCTGAAAGTCTAGAAAATCAGAAACGTGATGAAGAGAAAACGAAAAAGCTGCATGAACTTGTTCAAACCAAAGGTTTGGAATGATTTCATGGAGTGAATCGAATGAGATTGGTTTCGTTTAGATCAAATTAAGATGGATATCCGAAATGAACAAGATGAATCAGGTAGATTAGATAAAGAATTGCGCGAATGGGAAAAGAAGATTCGGCAAAAACTGTCGGAAACGGGCGGTGCACATGCGTCAACCAATTTCACCGCTAATGTTCGGAAACAAGAACGAGTTCTCGAAAATCGATTAGAAACGGTACGTATGTTTATTGACAAATCTTCTTATTCATTTCACCTTTTCCTTCAGGCTCTCCAACGATTCAATTCTCTTTTGACGACCAATAGTTTGCTGCGTTCCGAAATCGACAATCTCCGAAACGAACGTGAACGCTTTGAAAATCTCTCTCAAAAATCGGAAAACGAACTGAAAGAATTGCGTGCTCAATTAGTTTCATCTATTGAAAAATCAGTCACTGCTTACGACCAACGGTAACCATCAATTTTACCGTGATTTCATACATAATTTCTCTTTCCGGTATTGCCTTTAGCAAAGATGCCAATACCAAAGCGATCATACTTCAAAGTGCGTGTGCCACTCTTGTAGAGCGGCAAGTTTACCGAATATCTTTCATTTTCAGATAAGGCTGAAACAGACAAAGCAGCATCGGAAGCTGAAATGCGCGAACTTGAACGGCAAATTTCTCACGATCGTAAACTGCGCGATTTCATGAAATTGAAATCGCAAGAACGACCTGAAGATGAAGAATTAGTAACGTATAGAAAACGGCGAGGTTGTATAAGTGCATTGGTGAATGAATGAATAAGTGAAAGAATGTCATTGATTGATTTCTAGAAGCGGAAGCAGCAGAGAAACGTCGTAAGGAAAAAGAAGAACATTCTATCGAAGCGTACGAGGGTAAATTCAAACAAATTCAAGAAATTAGTCATGAACCAAATCTGGAAAAACTTGTCGATAAGTTCATCGAAGGTTCGATAATATTTTTCAACAAAAATGAAAATCTATACTTTTCTATTATAGTGGAAGACAAAAACTTTGCTCTATTCAACTATGTTAACGAATTAAATAATCGAGTAGAGACATTACAAGAACAAATTTCGGATACCAAGCGAGAAATTCGTCATTTTGAATCACAAGGCGTGGAATTGGAGTCTCAACGACAGAATCTATTAGCGAAAATCGAACGTAAACGTACGCAAGCAGATACTACAGGTCAAGATTATGAAGATAAAACTCAAGCGACAAAGAAAACTCTCGATCAATGTCGAACAGGTAACATTCTCAAAGTCCCGGTCTCCGTTGTTCAACTATGTACATTTCTTCGTATGAAACAGGCGTGGATTCCTTATTTAAAAAGATTGGTTGCGATCGTCGACAAATCGACAGTTCACTCCAAAGCCATGAAGGTGTAACTGAAGATAACATCTCGAAATATTTGGGTATCATCGAAGAAAGAACAAATGAATTACTCACTGCTCAAGCGATGATCAACGCCAAAGTAAGAAAAGGGTTCATTCACGCTGAAAGGATCGATGTTCATTTGTATCTAGGAACAAAATATGCCGTTACGTGAGCGTGCTCCCAATTTGATCGGTGATGGTCCAGCTGCTCCAACCACTCAATACAATCTTCACCTTCCAAACACGTAAGATAGTTGAATTCGATTAAGATAAATATTATGTTGAAAATTTTTGTATAGTGATGATCGTCGTGATCTTGACGATCGTGATGATCGGGGCGATGACGAGCTCAAACCATTAACACGCGAAGAACTGAAACAACGTGCCGCAGAACAAGTCAAACATTTAGAACGTAAAGCTCTTCAAGAACAAAATAAATACAATGATACGGCACTGTCAACTACACGCGAAAAGAGCGCGCCTGGAACATCGAGAACAACTGGTGGAGAAAATAGCAAAATGACGTCTCGACGTTAGAAGAAAAACATATACAACAAAATTGAATAAACTTTTTTCTTCTCTTGAGTTTCTGCTGTAGTAAAGAGCACTTTTTCTATGCGGGGAAAGTTTGTTGAATTTTCAATGGCACAGATTTTTTTTCGGTGATTATGAAATACTTTTGAAGACAAAAAAGAAACTGAAGATCGTTTGTATAAATGCAAAAGCAGCAACTGAGTACCACAAGTTTTTTTTATTTCAAACTACGTAAAATTCTATTTATTAGGAAGGAAAAACATCACAATTATATACACACCCTCAAATCACTCAGTACAATAGCGTGCGCTACAAAAGGGGATAGCAGGTAAAAAGAAAACATAATAACTACCAGGAGAACACAATACCACAGATATATCAATCACCACCGAACATGTATCTACATAGTTCACTACACACGCTATGTCATTTACAACTGTATTGGCCGGTATCGACAATGTATTATTGTACCAAATGGGTAAAAATGCGCCGCAGTGATTTATATTCGGTGCAGATAGAGCTAATTTAGTTCCTCCAGTCCCAACAAATCGAATCCAAGATCCGCCATTAGTAGTATTGAACAGGGGTCCATTATCACATCTGAGGATATTTGCAGCATTAGAAGAATTTCGTGTTGGATCATTGATTTCTGTGTAACCTGAACATGGTAATCCAATTTGATTGCCAATACTGATACTACTAGTATATGATGCGCCAGCCGGTGTACTTACTAAAATAGGAAAAATTTATTCGTGCAAGTCTGACAAATCTATCATTCGAAAGAGTATACATGAATTGAGATTGCTGCCGTCATTTCCGGATGAATTCTGAGATTTCAAAACGCCAAAAACGATGCCAAGACAAATAGCAGTCATGAGAATTATTATCACAACGATAATAAATGTCATAATTGCTGCTCGGACGCTGCAAAGTCGTCTGTGATGGTATACATGTACACTAGAAGGATGTTTAATTTTAAAAAAGTCATTTCATATAGATTCCTTCATACTCGGTCGCCGATGTATTCGCCGATAACGTAGCATAGGAGTGAGAATTTGAAAAACGCTTTATTGGCAAAATCGGTCCTCGGCGAGTCGTTTCAACAGCTTTTATCGTTTGTTGTTGTTTTTTAGGTAACACCTAATCAAAGACTTCGGTCGGATGATGGCCATCAATTGAAAGAACCTCTTACTTTTCGAACCGAACGATGATCAGCATGTTCGTTTTTTGTTCCAAAGTTAATCCGATCTGCTGCTTGTCTTTTCCATCCGATTGAAATTGAATCCATAATGTTGATTTGTTCGTAGTTTTTTCTTATGAAAAGTTCTTACGCATTTTTCAACATGTTTTATACAGAACAAGAGGAATCACCATAAAATTTCATTATTAATTAGCATATTTTTGTATTGACTGAGTCCGTAGGATGGTGTAATTTGAAAAAGGAAAACAACAACAGCATTGTATTTCGAACTCCTATTAGGTCACATCTGGATGGGCATAACTCGATGGATTTGAATCATCATAATTTAAGGCATGTCATCGTAACTTGAACGAAAAATTTGTGCGATCACACGATATTTTATAGGTGCTTCTACACGATGTACATCCCTTGTCGCTTTCACTCACATCTTGAGGGTGAGGGTGTGTGTATGACGTGCACACCGTGTAGAAGGATCATTTCATACACCCTGATGTACCCGACTATGCCCTATAAGTATTTAGTTTTCTATTCTTCTATGGATGCTTCATGCTCGCTGAGAGTCAATGATACAGTTGCTTATTTTATTTAATTATCATTTTCTCTCGTCTATATCATTGGTATATAATCCCTCGGCGCAGATTGTTCACCCTGACGCGTATATTGAATGAACGAAATAGGGATAAATTAGGTTAAAGCTTGCTCTTTTCTTCTCTTCTCTCTCACTCTCTGTCTTCTTCCATCTGCTCTTACATGTGTCTGCTCATTAATAATTCATATTAGACTTTAGATACTGATGGGTTAACATTCTTTTCTTCATTTCCAATCAATGATCAGATCTCGAGAGAGTGAATCTTCTTTTGTTTGTAAGACAACATTCTGAGGTGATGCTCGACAGTTGCATGTCTGACCAGAGATCAACCGAGAAACATTCTATCATCATGCCAGGATGACATCGATAGGCAACAAAATGACTTGAATATCTCGAAGACATTTTCTTGTTGAATGCTTGTTCTTCAGATTGAATTACTTGAAATATACACGTCGCCATGCAAGTTTCTCAACAACAATCTTGTCTCATTCTTTGAAACGTGTTCAAGCAGAAATCTATTTCTTTTCTTCTGACAATGTCCTCTAGGCTCACTCTCACACATATTCAATACACCAATAGAAACCTTATCTGTATACATGCACACGCGAACAAACGAACGCACGATGTTAGCGTGTCCATCGTGCGGCTAATTGAAAAATTAATGAAGCAAATATTTTCAAGCAACTACGACTACTATTACTACCATCATCAACTGAACGAGATAGATGAGACATCAACAACACCATCTTCAATCATCACTCAACTGGATTCTTTCTGCTTCTTTTTTTTTTTGAAAAGAAGCAATAAGGAAATCGTGTCTTTGATAAGTTTCTCTATGTTATCTCGAAGAGAACAGGATGTAAATAACAATGATTGGGTAGATAAAATCTGCACTGGTGATATTTGATCAAATTTGTCGAATAAGTTCCTATTGATTCTAGTCAATATTTAATCATTGATTCTAACGTGTTAGACGGTCGTTCTTCTCTCTTTTTTTTAATGTCAATAGCATCGTGTATTGGTGACCAACAGTTTGTTTGTCTCAAATCTTCTAATCTCACCAACAACTCATATTAATCAAATCGATATCGAAAAACAGAACGAGAACAAACATGAGCATTATTCGAATCGAATGTCTTCAATCTCTCCATCTGTTTCGTACTTTTCTTTTCAGCAGATGCCATCTTACATCATTCGTGTGCTCTTTTCTTTTTCAAAAGAAAAATCTGAAAACATAATTAACAAATGTTTCTTAATATGAAGATATTTCATATAGCTCGAGGCTCTCTTTTCATGATAAGCGTCGAGATTCTAATGCTTCTTCATTCTA